CCCATGTAATGTGTTATAAAAGTGTTAAGACATTCCTTAGTTTTCTTTACAGAGCACCTGTCCTTCTTGTGTCCCTGCTCCCGTATTGCTGCGCGTACCTCTTCAAACACAGCCAAAATATTTGTCTCACACCCTGATAGACACATTCTTAGGAGAATTCTGTGTGTCCGTAGATCACTACATATCTGGGTTAATGTCGCTCAGTCAACTTTATCAGAAATCCCACCCGAATCTTGTACGCGTCCACATCTCTACACTGCACCTGTGTGTTCACTCTCTAGTGTGAACTGCCACACCCACCTAGTACATGCATCCTCCTGATAGAAATCATACGTCTCTTTGTGCTCTTTCTCCATATTTGTACTCGACAACCTCTATATGTCCTCACTCCTCTAGTGATATTTCTTGTCAATTAAACGCATCAGCCTCTCCCCCACTACTTACACTCTAAGATATAGAGTCAACCAAATATGTACACAATCACTCCAATCCTCGCCATACACCAACACCAGTCAATTCTCTCACTACGCCTTAGAGTCCTTGATATGATACCTCTCCTGTCCCATCATCTTGTGTCACCGTAGACTAAATACCTAACTCATATAGGTCCCAACTCACTCCTCTCAATATCACACTCAACTAAAGTAACATCCCACCACATGTGATCATGGTCTCTGAGAATCAGTCCCATCCTGAAGATAGTATTCTTCCATTCAATGTCACTTCCTTCCACCCCCCTCTCCCCTATGACAGTATCTCGCACTACTTATACTACCTACCTCTGAGAAAATTCTCTCTATCCTGCCACCGTATTCCTATCACTCTCTCTCCTCACCCCTCGCTACTCAATACATGTACTTCCACTCTCACTCACACATATAGTGAATGTCTCGTACGCCAGATACTCTCTCCGACATCGAACGCATCCTCCGCAAAATCTGCTCACCAGACAATACACTATATAATCCGTTCAGACCTCATACTAAGCCTGTCTCCTGTCCATCATGTCCGTGCCCATAGTTGCTACTACATCATCTTGGTCGTCACATTAACACACCCCAGACTCGCGGTATGTGTCTTCTACACTACGCACTGTAATAATATAACCACTCCTATTAAAGTGTGTGACTCCACTTCTTGCTCAACAGACACTATGTTGATAGACCCACATATAACCCATTATCCCCGCACACTCTCTTTGCTCACATTCTAATTGATCTCTCCCCATCTTCCACACTCTTCCCCACTATACCATACGTATATATCACTCAGTCCCTCTTATCCCTTCACATGTTTCACTACCCAAACATCCATAATCTACGCAGTCACCTCTGCCCAATCCCCATAGTCAGATTATGCCAACATATGAGCGTCTAACCATATGCAATTATCTCACCTCTGCCTAAGACATATTATCTCACCTATGACATAGTCACACCACCCCTCCCCCACTCTCTATTGGGTGAAACCATCTTCCACTGTTCACCTCAAGTCTCTTCTCGTGTCACAAATTCATAAAAATAAAAAATCACCCCACCTATGTCCTGTTGTGTGAGATATAGTAGAAATCACCATCTCGTAAAAATATGCGACCTCCAGTCATATCCTAGTTGTCCTCACCATACACCGTACAAGTTCACTTCGCTGAAATATCCATCCCTTTTTCCATTACTACAATAGACCACCAACAATACAACTCTCCACCCTGCCCACCCACTCATCGCTTCCCAAATAATCTCGAATAGTACTATTTCCCCTCTTCTCATCTACCTTGCTCAAACACACCATCGACACCGTTCTCCAAACATCTACCCACACCCTTCTCCATAATCTCTATGTGCACTCCACCTATTAATCTCATGCTTAGCACTCCACACTACGTCTGAACCTGCTCTGTCTGATACTGTGTCATTAACCCTACTCTCTCCGTATCCAATCCACCTACCACCCCTCGTCACTAATCTCTATGCTGCTAAACCCCGCACACAAAAACGCTCCATCATTCAAATGTTGTCTATAGATCAAACTCGATCGCCCACTCCACTGCTCACCCTGATTGTCTCATACATCTATACCTATCAAAATACTCTCTATCATGTATACGCTCACGCTATGCCTCTCTCCCCCATGATCCTATGTGCCCTGCCTTGTGTATGTCCTATGACTAATAAAATGACGCCTCCCCTCTATATCCATCATAGCTCTCCACTCTCATACACATACCGAAAACACCACCACTGTCCTTAAGACATGACATTCCTAAAGAGTATCGCCTCATCGCACCCCCAAGCCACACCCATCTCTCATACATTTAACCCTCATATCTCATAACTGAACCTATAAGATCCCGTGTGTTCTATGCTTCCTACAACATACCTGATGTCATCAAAACTCTCTTGTCTCCACTCTGTGTTCTACCACACACTCACCATCTACCCCTCAATCGATAGAGAATCCCATGAATAAGACCACACATATCAGAAAACACACTCCCTCTTCCGTTAGACATTAGACAACACTTGTTCCAATCACTAATGTAGTCAGTTTAAGACAGATCAACAACCTAATATCACCCCTGTGCTAAGTACCTCCGCAATCTCAATCCAAATTCCAACTCCAATATAATTAAACACTCTCCCTCTACAAAGGAGATATACCACACACACCCCACCCTCATTCTGCTCATTGTCCTCACCAATTCCTCTTATTTCCGTCCGTTCTTCTCTGCACCTCCTGCATCATCATCTTGTCTCTAGTCTGTCTACATAACTTCCATCTCTCCACTGTGTGTATAAATGTCACCCTCACTGTGTCCTGACCCTCCACTCCTCCACTTCTGTCTGTTCTCTATGTGTTGTCACATCTCCCTCTCCTCTACCTCGCACCCTCTAGTAATAACGTCTTCTATAAACTTTACTCCTCTGATGTATTCGCCTGAGACCTCCTATCAATCTCTATTTACATCTCCATACCACCCTTGACCTCTCTATCGCATCTTGTAACCTCGCTCTCCACCTCGTCACCCTTCAATCATATCAATAAATACTGATATCATTCTCATACTGCAGCCACTGTAGAAATACACAAATCGTGAGTGAATCACACACGTAACTGACATCCACATCAAATCATCCTTTCACTACACACCGCACTGCACTCACTCCTGCTCATCACCATCGTAGTGTGACCTCTCACCCACCGTGTCTATCCACATACCTTTCAACCAGAATACCCTCAACTACCTCTATCCCTCCAACATACTCCTTGATCTCTCCTACCATTGATCCACCCCAGAGATCTTACCTAAGACCGATCGTCGTAGATAGTGCCATCCTGATCCCATACCATAATGACCCAACGATAAGTAAGGTCTCTCCCTCTCTCCATCTCAACAAATCTCCACACCCCTCTATATCCCCTCTCTAGCCCCCCCCACAATACTACCTAGTACACTCGCTAAAGCATCCTACAATATTTAGAATCTCCTCATAACGAGAGAATCTAGCATACAGATCTGCATTGTCCATATCCCCAGTGAAATTACCCCTGTACTACAAACATAGAAGAGTCCTCTCCCCCAGTCTAATGTCTCACTCAGATACAACAAATTGTCAGTGTCCAGAATCACATTACACAATCCTTCCTCTGTAAATAATATACTAAACCCACTGAAATCAACTCTCTCAATACCTGTAAGTCTCAAACTCCATAATTTCCATGTTCTACAATGTATACTGTGCTCCTGCTCCCACGACGTTGTCATTGAGACGTGCTCACACAGTCTGTCTATAAGTGATGCTCTACCGAATCCCTTTCCTGCTCACCCTACAGCTCCTAGATTAGAGCATTCCCACTCTCCATGCTCACGTCACTTCTTACTAGTCCTGTGTGCCGTCCCCGCTGTTTTCCTCTGTATCCCTGACTTTAACATGTCTCAGTGACCACCATAGTGCTCACCCACCATTCTTTGTTATAGTCCCACACCACTTTCCATCAGTCATCACTGCACCGGTTCTGCTCTCCACAGTATCTCCGTTGTCCTCAGTGCTCCCCATTCCCACCTGACTTTTGTGTAAAGCTAAACAATGTACCCCTGTTATGACTGTCTATCTTGTCTACAACTCAGACCTTCCCCCATCTTACTGATACTCCATTCTCTTCAAGACTTATATCCTCCCTCTTGCCCACTCTTCTCCACTTTCACAGTGATATCCCTGACACCTTGGTATCCCGTCTGTCAGACGCTCTGTTGTCACCTCTGGTCATCCTCGTCCACTCATATAAATTCTTCGTAGTCCCACTCAACCTGCCCAGTGCCAGTCTCTCTCGATCTCCTACGTCTGCACCAGTCTTTCTATACTCCCACCTCTGTAACACGTGTGTGCTCTCCACAATTAGTAGAGATCCTGCCGCCCCTCCACTTGAATACGCTCTCACCTGTCGCACCACCGCATCCTTATCTCAAGACCCCCAGACTCTAAAATCCAGATTACTCCACTTGTATGTGTCGACATATAATTTAGAGTAGAAAAAATGCTATCCCTCAGTTCCTAACAAGTCCATACCAGTATATAGAGATAGATAACTGATCACAGTTCAGAATCCAAGATGCTGATGCACTTCAATACGTATATGTCACCTTCTCCGTAGTATCATATAACACATACTCCCTAATTCAGTGTCTATAGAAACTATACAGTGCCAACCCTCTCATGATGTACGTAAGAAAGATCTACTCACCCACCAGTTTATTGTATCTCACAACCCCCCTGTGTCACCCATCTCAAGATCTCAATCCGTCTCATCTAATATATGTATGTGTGTGCCTCATATCATCTGCTAAACTGCTATACGTATACCCCTCCCCCCATCGCCATGAGAGACCTGACAGTCCATGATGTAACTCAATCTATACCGAATCCACACGCCTTACAAGTGCTCTATAGATCTATCATCAAAATCATACAGACAGCACAACGTGCCACTTGCTCGCTACTGTACTAGATCCGTACGTCTCCCCACCTCCCCAGCTTATCCAAACCCAGATACAGAGTCCTCCATACCATCCTATCAAATCCTCTCTCCGACTCCATCCTCACATAGTCATGTTCCATCATGACGACTTCACATCCACCATCACCTCACACTCAACTCTCCTAGACACACACACTCTTTTCTCACACAAGACTACCTACCAACTCCATGCCTTATATATCTCGCTGCCTTGCATACTGTACACATCATCAACATTGACCCCCCATCACTAAACTGTATCACTATACACAATTGCCCTCCTTAACTGATATAACTTGTCACACGACCATCCTCACTTGTACCCACCCCTAAAGAAGAACATATCTTTCCCCACCCAACCCCAACATACTCCTTATGACTTCTACTACAGAAACACTCTGCGTCCAACTGAGAGAGGTCTCTCCAACCTCCGCAAACTCATTGTCTCTCTCAAACACACTCCTACTTAACCGTTCGATGTCCACTATGCCTCATTTCCCCTTCCAAGTGATCCTCAGCAACCGGTCCTCACGCCAATACGTCAACACACACGCACTCTACTATCTCTGCACTCGTCTGTCTGTGTCATCACCTCTCTATCTATGTCGTCGTACCACACACATTTCTACAGCCGTCCTCGATCATACTCACTCATACCTCATCCCTTCCTACCTCCTCTCCACGTTCAGACGCACACACACACACAGATATAGACACACACCGATGAAAGCGTTGGGGATGGTGATCTTCAGCCACAGTCGATCTCGTACTTCCAGTCCTGATCTCTGATTGGTCATCGCCGCCACCACCGTCGTGATGTCACTGTGCACACTCAGAGGCGTGTCCTCATGCACCGCTACAGCCAATCAGAAGACAGGAGCAGACAGCCAATCAGAGAGGAGCAGACAGAATATCAGAGGAGGATAAAAATTAGGTTTAAAGTTTTAAATCAAAACAAAACAAACAAGTTTGAACCGGTGTTAGTATTAGATAGCAATATGGCCTACGTGCAGGACTGTACAAGGACTCTACAAGGACTCCATGTTATGACTATGATTTGACTGTCTCTTTGTGACACGTATGTCTTTCGATGTGTGACGTGACAATGACTATATAAACTGTGTACTGCCTTTATTCTGTCTGAGAGAAAGAAACAAGGTAAACCAGTGGAACTTGAGAGAAACTTAAATAAACTTCCAGAGTTTGGCACACCACGATCCGTCTCTGTCTGCTTCATCCCTAACACCTGTAGTACTTACAGTTTTATTTGTAGCACTTGAAGTATTTACAGAAGTACTTAGTACGTACAATAGTGCTTGTTTTGCTTACAGTACTACTTGTGGTACTTACAGTAGTCCTTTCAGTATTGCATGTAGAACTTACAGATGTGCTTGTAGTACTTACAGTAGTGCTTGTAGTACTTACAGTAGTGGGGGGTGAGGCGTCCTGTCATGGCGGCTGTGTGACAGACCCAGGCGGCAGGATCAATGGGTCTCACGGGTTCACCTCAAACAGACACACAACAGACTCAGAGTGTGCGTGTGCGTGTTTGTGCGTGTGTGTGCGTGTGTGTGTCTCACTTGGAGGGAGGGAAAATCCGCTCTTTGGACTCGGGTCCCAGCACTTGGCCACAGTCAGAGTGATGGGTCTGAACAGAGATAGTGTTTTTAATAACGGTTTCACTCTGGTTTAAACTGGTTTTAACCGGTTTAATCTGGTTTCACTCTGGTTTAAACTTTAAACTGGTTTTACTCTAGTTTAAACTGGTTTCACTCTGGTTTAAACTGGTTTTACTCTGGTTTAAACTGGTTTTACTCTGGTTTAAACTGGTTTTACTCTGGTTTACACAGGTTTTACACTGACCCCGGCGCGTGCAGGACGTCCCTCAGGACTTTCACTGCGTCGTCGTTCGTCATATTCTCGAAGTTTATGTCATTCACCTGAAACAACAGTCCAAAGGTAGTGCCTGTAGTGTTTGCATTATATGTAGTACCTGTAGTACTTGCAGTACCTGTAGTACTTGCAGTACCTGTAGTACTTGCAGTACCTGTAGTACCAGTAGTACTTGCAGTACATGTACTACCTGTAGTACTTGCAGTACATGTACTACCTGTAGTACTTGCAGTACATGTACTACCTGTAGTACTTGCATTACATGTAGTACCTGTAGTACTTGCATTACATGTAGTACATGTAGTACTTGCAGTACATGTTATACCTGTAGTACCTGTAGTACTTGTGGTAAATGTAGTACCTGTAATAACATATCTCCTGGCTCGATCCTCCCGTCAGAAGCTACAGCCCCTCCCTTCATGATTGAGCCGATGTAGATTCCTCCGTCTCCACGGTCGGTGCTCTGTCCCAAGACGCTGACGCCCAGGAAGTGGTGCTGCTCTGAAACAGCCAATCAGACGCCTCCATGTGAGCCAATCACTGAGCAGTAGTGTCCATATGGTTCTCATGTGATGTCATACTCACCCATGTTGAGCGTTACCGTGGTGATGTTCAGGGACATGGTGGAGTCAGTTACACTGCTTGCCGACTATAAACAAAAAAAATCAGGTCAGGACCAAACCAGGACTAACCAGACCAAACAAAGACCAACCAAGACCAAACCATGACTAACCAGACCACACCTGACCAGGACTAACCAGAGCAAACCCGGACACAACCAGGACCAAACCAGGACTAACCAGACCAAATAAGGACTAACTAGACCTAACCAGACCAAACCAGGACTAACCAGGACCAAACCACGACTAACCAGGACAAACCAGACCAAACCTGACCAGGACTAACCAGACCAAACTCTGACATAACCAGGACTAACCAGACCAAACCAGGACTAACCAGAAAAAAACGGGACTATCCAGGACCAAACCAGGACTAACCAGACCAAACCAGGACTAACCAGAAAAACCAGGACTATCCAGAACAAAACCAGGACTAGCCAGACCAAACCAGGACTATCCAGGACCAAACCAGGACTAACCAGACAAAACCAGGACCAACCAGACCGGACCCGACCAAACCAGGACAAACGGGGACCAAACCAGAAAAAAAGGACTAACCAGGACTAATCCAGACCAAACCAGGTTAAACCAATAGATAAACAGATCAGGTCAAACAGGGTTACCTAGACTCACCCGGTCTATAGACCCACCTGGTCCATGGGCTTACCTGGTAAATAGGCTCACCCAGTGCATAGACTCACCTGGTCCATAGGCTAAACCGGTCCATAGGCTAACCCGGTCCATAGACTCACCCGGTTCATAGTCTCACCCGGTCCATAGGCTCACCTGGTCCATAGACTTCCCAGCGTTCTTCTTTCGGTGTCGCCGCCGCTGACGGCGTAACCGTTGTGGAGACGAGCTGCTGTGCTCTGATTGGCTGAACCTGTATGACATCACAGTGTGACATAAACTGATGGTCACCATTTGTGTCTATATGGTTCTCATCACATCACTTTAGAAACACAAGATACAGGCCCATACAGGAGTAGTGATCCGAAAGCTCTGTCCCCCCGGTGTGAACCAACCTGAGTCTGGAACAGTCCTGCTGTAGTCCTGGTTCAGTCCTGGTTAAGTCCTAGTTCAGTCCTGGTTCAGACCTGGGTCTTTCCTGGTTCAGTCCTGGTTCAATCCTGCTGTAGTCCTGGTTCAATCCTGTTGTAGTCCTGGTTCAGTCCTGGTTCAGTCCTGGTTCAGTCCTGGTTCCGACCTGGGTCAGACCTGGTACGGTCCTGGTTCAGACCTGTTTTACAGTCCTGGTTTTGCCCTGGTTCAGTCTTGGTATAGTCCTGGTTTAGTCTTGGTTTAGTCCTGGTTTAGTCCTGGTTTAGTCCTGGTTCAGACCTGGTTTTGTCCTGGTTCAGTCCTGGTCTCTGGTTTATAGTCACTCTGATGCTGTGGACAAAGCCGCAGTCACATGATTCTGATCGGCCAATCAGAGAGCGGGCTCTGAACAGAGTTTCTGGAGCAGAAAACACAGCTGCAGGGCATCAGGGTTTTTATTGAATATAATTATTATTATCATTATAATGATTATAATCTATTATTATCATTATTATTATTATTTATTAATATAGTAATAGTAAGACGACTGGAATGGAAAGAGCCATTCTTATGGAGCTGTTATTGTTTCAATAATATTTGTATGTGTGTAACTAGATCTGTGTGTGTGTAACTAGATCTCTGTGTGTGTGTGTGTAACTAGATCTCTGTGTGTGTGTGTAACTAGATCTGTGTGTGTGTGTGTAACTAGATCTCTGTGTGTGTGTGTAACTAGATCTGTGTGTGTGTGTGTGTAACTAGATCTCTGTGTGTGTGTGTAACTAGATCTGTGTGTGTGTGTGTAACTAGATCTCTGTGTGTGTGTGTGTAACTAGATCTCTGTGTGTGTGTGTAACTAGATCTCTGTGTGTGTGTGTAACTAGATCTGTGTGTGTGTGTAAAGAAAAAAAAAGTCTACAGTTTACACACAAGTCTTTTTTTCCACACAGATACAGATCTTTTGATACAGTCCTGCCTTGGAAGGTCCGCAAGTGTAACTTGGATTGTGTGCGCGTACCCAGATTTGTATGTATATCAGTGGGGGCGGGTCCCGGCTCAAAAGTGGCCAAAATGACGTGCGCTGACATACTTGCAATACCAGAACCGGAATACGAATTATTCAATGCTAACATATAGCATTGGCAGACCTCTCAAAAACGTCTTTACAGGATGGTCCAAAAGTTGGCTCTTGGCCCAAAGCTCCGCTCCACATGTGTGTCAATGCTGAGGGGGGTGGATTTTTTTTGGACCAGTCTAGTTTAGTCGCTGTGAAATTTGGAAGGCACTTGTTAAATGAATGGGGCCCGTGCCGGCTGACACATGCGCAGATGCGTTTTTTCACATTTTCCAGCCCCCGCGGCCATTTTGAAACTGCCCATAGACTGCGGAAGTGGTGCCACATAAGTTAGAACGGCGGAGATAGGCGTGACTACGTATATTTACAGTCAATGGTGTATACCCAAATGTGTGTGTGTGTACCCAGATTTGTGTGTGTGTAATTAACATTTGTGTCTGTAAAAGATCTGTTTGTATGTAAATAACAGTCTCTCGTTTACACACAAATCTTTTGACACAGTCCTGCGTTAGCATCTCTGGAGTTTCACAAGCATAATGTGGTTGTTTTACCACTATACCAGTAGATTGTTCTGTTGTAGCCAATTACTACACACAAACAACACTCGCCTGTACAAAATGGTGAATCACAAAAGCAGCAAGATTGCGTCTTCCTCAGTTAGTCACTTTTTGTGGTTTAGTTTTGATTTTTAACTGTTTACTTTTAACTGTTTAGACTATGCAAGCACAACTTCAGTTATTGCATTCGTTGACTGGCGAGGCTAATGAGCTACTACCCTTGACCCCAAAAGGTCAATTCACTAACTGTGTTACCCAAAATTTCACAGTCAATATGTGGATTCATTAATGCAAATGTTTGTTGCATAGTTAATTCATGTCAAGTCAGAATATTGAATCCATATTATCATTACGCTGTGCCGTTCCCACTGACAGCATTAGCGCTAACTAACCAAGCTAACTAGCTATAGAGGGATCCTACGGTCACGTGACTAGCAGCCACGGCAGCCATACTGGAGGACAACCTCGGCGAGTAACAGCCATGCTAGCTATCTATAACTGGACGTTCAAAACTAGAACTCTCTCGAACTACATGAAAACTGAACATAGAATTTGAAACTTCAGCAGTTAGTGACCCAAATATATACTCAACCTAAATTCATGAATCAGATCCTCTGAAAATGCATCCAAAAATGTATTATTAATGTTTATCGTTACATCCAGGTTTACCGCGGTCGCATATTGTCGCATTAAAACAGTGTTTTTTCATGAAAACGTGAACAGAAAATTCTGAAAACCTCTGTGCACGTGTATTAAGAATGTATATGTATAATGTATTCTCCGATTAACATTTAATGTGTTTATTGTTACACCATGGATCTATGTGTGGCTACACTGCAGTGGAAATAATGAGATTACATTCAAATCAATGGAGCTTTCTGCGTCTACTGTGAGGAGCCGTATATTTTATTAATAAATACTAGTACGGGGCACCCTCGAGCACGGCTCAGTCGTTCACATGTCTGCTGGCCTTCGGTAAGTCAGATACCCTGTGAACCGGGTGAGGTCCTGTGTGAGACCAAATATATAACAGCTATGCTACAAGCTAAGCTACAGTCTATGGAGCAACCCCACGTTGCAGTCAGACAGATATGTTTTATCCTTAAACTTCTGTTTGTTTCGGAATAACACTAAATCCGCCATCAAATTGATTTCACTCAGCAGAAATGAAATGATCCGAGCATATTCGGGCGCTCTGGGGGCTATTAGTTTTTTGTTGTTGCGTATGGTTGTGCCATTTCTCTCTCGTTTCTTTGAGATGTCTTCTGTTTTTGAGCCGTGTGAAGTAAGGACGGCTGGCAGTCGGTAACACAGCTTATTTTCCCTGTCTCTCTTTTTGCTGCAGCCAAAAACGGCAAAAAATTTGAACATGTTAATGCGGTCCCGGGTGCACGCCACTATCATACAGCGTTTGCTTGTCCTCCAGTATGGCGGATGCCCCGCGAGGTCGAGGCATCGTGACGTCACGTGAGATATCTCTATAGATGTGGTAAATGACCACTGTTAAATACCTGCTGTAAATAGCATGTAGCTCAGTACTTTGAGGAGACATTTGACATTACAGTGGAGAACCATTGCCTAAAAAGAAGGAAACTTAGCGAAACTTGTGTATTGCATCAATGCAGTCACACTGTTGTCTCTATGCAGAGATTAGTCGAACTCAGTTCAATGCATTTCAATGGCGCAGAGCAGTGTTTTCACAGTGTGTCGGAATTATCAATTGTAAACAAAATCCTCCATGTGTTTTGTAGAAAAGAGAAGATGTGGAGGGAGTGGCAACAAATCTTATATCCTTTATTCAAAAGAAGCTGGAGTAAAGTAATACAAGTTCTTCCAGTGCAAAGACCTAGTGTGGCCTCAGAAATGCAGAGCTTTTGTAAACATTGTTATATTTGCATTTAATGCAATGATCCAGTCTGTAATAAAAAAATAGTAATAGAATAATAATAATAATAATAATGATAGAATATAATTCATTATAATAATCTCACCGCCCTCCAGAGTCGGATGAACAGAAACTTGTCGTCTCCAGTTCACTGCTTTGCTGCTGATTGGACGAGCCGCCTTTAGGAACTCGCTGACGATTGGACGCCTTGTGGAGGGGGGCCTGTCCTTCTAAGTCCTCACCAAGTGCACTAAACAAGCACACACACACATCACAAAGACACACGTGTGTGAGAGACAGAGTGAACATTACTGTAGGAGCTGAGACTGAAGGTTTTCTCCAGGTGCATTCTGTAAAAACATGTCCTATAGAATCTAAAATCTCACTGGGACTTTCCTGTTAGATACAAGTCCATGAAATATTTATATTCTGTAAATATACTGTATTTATATATACTGCAAATATATATATATTATACATTTATTTATTGATACGCAGACGCAACAAGACAGTGACTAACTGAAAGGACGGCGGGCGTGAATCTCCGATGCCTCTAGTCCTCTGAGGGGGCGGGGCCTGGGGTGGAGGAGGCAGGGCCATGTAGAGGGGCGGGGCAATTGAGCTGGTGGGCGTGGCCACAGACATGACATCATCAGCGCCTCTGAAGTCGATCTGTGAGTCTGCAGAAACAATCTGCAGAAGAAAAGGTTATGCGTGTGTGTCTGTGTGTGTGTGTGTGTGTGTGTCGGTTGATGCACAATTGCAATTAAAAACCGATGTGGACCGGTTATTGACTTTCTAAAGTAGGACACAAACCTTTAATGTGTTGTTTCTGATGTAAACGGAGCCCGGTCTAAGGACAATGTTCATGTTTAATTGTTGTGTTTTCACAATAAAGATAAAAATTAAAACTAAGAGAAAATAAGTCAGAAAGTGTTTGTTCTGTTAACGACTTAAATGACGGTTTAGACCAGTCAAAGATAACCCAGACACATCAGGATTAGACACATCTGTAACCAATAATACAGACTACGAGAAGCACCAATACGGGGCGACAGTGGCTCAGTTGGTAGAGCATTAGCCGTTGAGCCTGAAGGTCATGGATTCAAGTCCATCACAAGACTTTCTCCACTTACCAGAAGGTAGGTCCACCCACTCCTTCTGATGTCTGCTGTCATTGTGTCCTTGGCAAGACACTTAAGCTCTTGGAACACCTGATGCCACAGTGGGGCGGCTGCGGCTGTAAAGTGCCAAACTGCCGTTGTGTCCTTAGGCAAGACACTTCACCCCCATTGCTTAGAATGAGTTTGGTGTGTGTGTGAATGGTTGGTGGTGGTCGGAGGGGCTGATGGTACATACTGGTTGCCTCGCTTCTGTCAGTGTGTCCCAGGGCAGCTGTGGTTACACTAGTAGTTTATCACCAGTGTATGGAGTGAATGAATAATGACATGTGAAGCGTCTTTGAGTGTCCAAAAAAGTGCTATAAAATCAGAGCATTAATATCATTTTTATTATTATCAATATTACATACTACCAGAGACACCAATATTACAGACCATCAGAGGCACCATGGCACCAATACATATTCCAGAAGGCACCAATATCGACAGTACTCCTCGCCTTGGATTTTTAGGAGTTAAAACCATGTGTCTGTGTCTTTCAGAAAGAGTGGATCCCATATGCCCCTGTCATAGGACCCGCATGTCGCAAAAACGTGTGTGGGCGTGCGCGTATCTGTGTGTGCCTGTATGTATATGTGTGTGTGTCTATGTACACACCCAGCACACCACTCGTCCGTTATCACAGGGCAGAACAGCATCATCATCACTGATCTCCTCCTTCACCACTCTAGAAACAAACAAATGTAAAACAGGTCAGGACTGAAGCAGGTCTAAAGCAGGTCTAAAGCAGGACTCAAGCAGGTCTAAATTGTGAAAGGAATTAAATGCCGTGTGCAAGGCCTCACCCCCTGACCCGGTCTGTTGTTATAAAATGTTCTATACTCGCTGCCACCTGAAGACACTCGCTCCTCTCCTCCTTCCACAGTATAACACGACCAATCGTACTTACCCAAAATCCCGGTCTTCGCTCCTGAAGAAGAAACGTGCATGGTGTTTGTTGAGCGCGTTCTTGACGTGGAGCAGGGTCACGCGCTGTGCGGGCACGCTGATACGCACGAGATAAGGTGTGTGCTCGTCCTCGAGGTGGTATATCACGCGCGTCTCCCCCATGGTCCCAGAGACGTGAGAGGGACCGGGGACCAGAGAAAGAGACCAGAGAGAACACAGAGAGAGACCAGAGAGAGAGACTATGAGAGAACACAGAGAGAGACCAGAGAGAGACTATGAGAGAACACAGAGAGAGACCAGAGAGAGACTATGAGAGAACACAGAGAGAGACCAGAGAGAGACTATGAGAGAACACAGAGAGAGACCAGAGAGAACATAGAGAGAGACCAGAGCGAGACCAGACCTGGTCAGTGGATCTGTTCAAGGTTCAGGCCCCGATCACAGAGATTTCTGTCAGACCCAGACCTGGTCCTGATGCTGAGGATGGTGCTGTCTCACGTACAAACAAGCTGACGTCACACCGCTTCTTCCGCGCACACACCCTTCACAATAAAAGCCTTTAGGGAGAGGGTGTCCAGACTCATTCGAAGCACAGTCACGTGTTCTGGACCTGTCGTTAGCTCAGAGTGAACAACATCTGCTGGTGTCTGAGGGAAGCACCATCCCCAATGCAAGCCACGTCCATGTTGGAGTTGACATAGTGTAACGAACACAAACTTTAAAAAGGCTGAAAACATGTGTATGACGTCCTAGGACAGTTTCAGCACAGCGTATTCTGGGGGTTGGGCCTAATATACGTGTGGATGGATCTAAAACAGCTGCAGTTCTGTGTTGGAGTTGTGTGTGATTTAAAGCCCCTCAGAGCGCCCTCTGGCGTACGCAGATCCGGGCTCCTTCCTGGTCTGGTCCCGGTCCATCCTCCGGAGATACAGCGGGACTCCACTCTCTCTGTACCCGCCCCATGGTGTGCCTGTCCCGGCTGAGCCCACCTCCACACCTCGTCCTTGGAGCTCGGAGTCTAACCACTTTTTATAGACATTTTAGACCGAGTGGGCCGGAGTTGGCTCGGGTGTCGGGTCACCACACACCGGTGATCTCTGGACTCTGTAGCCGCCTTTAGTGCCTCTCTCCCGGCTGAGCTCACGTTGTTTGCTCCTGGAGCTCAGACTGCGGGACACTTCAGCCTTCGTGTCCGAGCCACAGTGCCTCTTCCCGGGTCGCAGATTCCTCCAGAGCTGAGGCGGCTCCTCGGGACGCGGTAGCCGACAGCAGAGCGCTTCCTCCGGGTTGACAGAGCAGCAGCAGCCGGTGTCTGTCCGCCCCAATGGAAATCCCATTTCCACCGCATTTTTTACACATAATGATGCCAGTCCACCGCTTTTTAGATTAAGTTATTCATGTTATACAGTTTTGTTAAAAGCGCGTAGTTTACACTTCATTAATTAGCCTCTTTGAAGCTACTGAAGCTAATGCTACTGAAGCCTCTGTAAAGTTTGCCAAAGCTAATAACAGTCGTGTTTTCTGTTTTAAGTCCATTTTAGTGCTCGCTGTATTTGCATTATTTCTGTTTTTCAGCTCAGGGACAGTTGACCAAAGTGCACTTTAAATTATCTCCATGCATTTTACTAAGTTTCCCATGCTGAATGAAAGTGATGTGTTTTTATATATTTGAATGAAGAGACAAAGTACATTTTAAACGCAGAGCTGCAGATATATATACTACACACACACACCCACACACACACACACACACTGACTGATATATAAAGTATACTACACACACACACACACACATATATATAAACATGTTCATGTGAAAGAGTCCAGGTTCACTTTGTGTTTGTCTGCTTCATATTTGATTGTACTTCCTGCTCATTAAAACCTGTAGGATTTTGATATAGAGATTTAAACATTTAAAACCAAATGAGAGTTTACACCAGAATGTGCCTGACGGAGAAACTTGACCATATAGTTTACTGTGCACTTTGTTCTCACAGTCTGCATTTAGTCCTGCTTTAGACCTGCTTTAGACCTGCTTTAGTCCTGCTTTAGACCTGCTTTAGTCCTGCTTTAGACCTCCTTTAGTTTTGCTTTAGAACTGCACTAGACCTGCTTTAGATCTGGTTCAGTCCGGTTCAGACCTACTTTAAACCTGCTTTAGACCTGGTTCAGTCCTGGTCCAGTCCAGGTGTAGTTGATATAATGTCGGCCCCTGGCTCTCTGTTCTGCTGCCGCTCTCTGCATTCCTCTGGGGGGCACTGTGCTGCTCCTGGTTCAGAACACTGCCGCCCCCTGGTGGATGTGGCGTCTTCCTGTAACCATGCTGACTTCCACCTGCGGCACTTCCACCTGGACCTGCAGGTAAACAGACACACTGTCCCCATGATGCAGATAAACACACACACACACTGTCCCCATGATGCAGGTAAACACACACACTGTCCCCATGATGCAGGTCTGGTTGGTCTGGTCTCTGTTCTCTCCGGTCTCTCTCTCACTGGTCTTTCTCTGGTCTCTTTTTGGTCTTTGTCTGGCCTCTCTCTGGTCTCTCTCTCTCTCTGGACTGTCTCTTGTCTCTCTCTGGTCTCTGCCTCCTCACAGTGGGTGATCCATGTTGTTGCAGATAAACTTTGCCCAGAAGCAATTCTCTGGCTGGCTAGTGATGGACCTGTCTGTGGTTAGCCCAGGTGCTCAGGTTCTGCTGCTGGACTCTCATCCCTCACTCATGGTGCGGAGCGTGGACTTCAAAGACTCCACACGACCTCACGACTCACCGCAGGAAGTGCCCTGGTCCTCAGACACCTTCACCGAGTTCGGATCAACACTCCGGTCTGCTCCTCACAGGGCCTCTCTCTGGTCTTTCTCTCTGGTGTCTCTCTCTGGTGTCTCTCTCTGGTCTTTCTCTCTGGTCTCTCTCTCTGGTGTCTCTCTCTGGTCTTTCTCTCTGGTCTCTCTCTCTGGTGTCTCTCTCTGGTCTCTCTCTGGTCTTTCTCTCTGGTCTCTCTCTCTGGTCTCTCTCTGGTCTTTCTCTCTGGTCTCTCTCTGGTCTCTCTCTGGTTTTTCTCTCTGGTCTCTCTGGTCTCTCTCTGGTTTGAGACGGTAAAATAAAACACACCAGCTTTAATATTGTCCCTGTTCAGAGTGGCCCTCCCCGAGCTCAAAGCTGCACGAGACTTTCAGATCACCATCCGCTACAGCACCACAGACGGACCAGCAGTGAGTGCTTTAGACCTGCTTTAGACCTGCTTTAGTCCTGTTTTAGTCCTGGTTTAGACCTGCTTTAGACCTGCTTTAGACCTGCTTTAGACCTGCTTTAGTAGTAGAAATCTTTCTTTATATACCGCCTTTTCACTGCAGACCAGAGTCTCAAAGCGGTTTACAATTGTTATTTTTGGGGATTTGTCTCTCACTCCACAGAGAGATGGGAGCGAGGGCGCCAGTACAGGAGGCACATGCCAGATCTATTGTGCATGTTTTTAGTGGTAGGGGAAACCGGAGTACCCGGATGAAACCTACGCCGACACGGGGAGAACATGCAAACTCCACTCAGAAAGGTCCTGGTCCAACCGGGATTCGAACCCAGGACCTTCTTGCTGAGAGGCGAGAGTGCTGTCTACTCGGCCACCGTGCCGCCCAGACCTGCTTTAGACCTGCTTTAGTCCTGCTTTAGTCCTGCTTTAGACCTGCTTTAGTCCTCCTTTAGACCTTCTTTAGACCTGCTTTAGATCTCTTCTTCTGTGTTCAGGTGTGGTGGTTGGATCCAGAGCTCACCTGTGGACAGACTCGCCCCCTGGTGTTCACTCAGGGTCACTGCGTCTGTAACCGCTCCTTCTTCCCCTGTTTCGACACTCCAGCCGTGAAGAGCCCCTACAGCGCGACTGTCAGGGTGAGTCTGGTACTACAGCGCCTCTGTCAGGGTGAGACTGGTACTACAGCCCCTACAGCGCCTCTGTCAGGGTGAGTCTGGTACTACAGCCCCTACAGTGCCTCTGTCAGGGTGAGTCTGGTACTACAGCCCCTACAGCGCCTCTGTCAGGGTGAGTCTGGTACTACAGCCTCAAATACACCTGTTCTCACACTGACAAGAACACTGTCATATGTTTAGGTCACTGATTGTTTCTCAGCCCTCATGAGTCTCTTACTGGTCTCTCTCTCTGGTCTCTCTCTGGTCCCTCTCTGGCCTTTCTCTGGTTTCTCTCTGGTCTCTCTCTCTGGTCTCTCTCTCTGCTCTCTCTCTCTGGTCTTTCTTGGCTCTCTCTCTCTGCTCTCTCTCTGCTCTCTCGCTGGTCTCTCTCTGGTCTCTCTTTGCTCTCTCTCTCTGGTCTCTCTCTGCTCTCTCTCTGGTCTCTCTCAGGTCCCAGATGGTTTCACAGTCCTCATGAGTGCCTCCAGGTCCATGTTCTGTAGAGACCAGAGAGAGTTCCGGTTCTGGATGGACGAGCCGGTACCATCGTACCTGGTGGCTCTCGTGTGTGGGGACCTACAGCACCATGACCTGGGACCAAGGTAACAGACTCGCACGCAGACTCGCACGCAGACTCGCACGCAGACTCGCACGCAGACTCGCACGCAGACTCGCACGCAGACTCGCACGCAGACTCGCACGCAGACTCGCACGCAGACTCGCACGCAGACTCGCACGCAGACTACCCCTTGGGCAGGTATTACAGGTATAGTTTCTCTGTGATTGGTTGTACTGATGTGATTCTGGTCTTTGATTGGTTAGGAGCAGAGTGTGGGCAGAGCCAAGCCTGCTGTCATGTGCAGTCCAGAAGATAGGGGGCAGTGTGGAGCACTGGCTCAGTGTCGCAGAGGAACTGTTTGGAGCATATCTGTGGAGCAGGTGTGTGTGTCTCTCTCTTTCTCTCCCTCTCTCTTTCTTCCCTCTTTCTCTCTCTCCCTCTCTTTCTCCCCCTCTCTTTATCTTCCCCCCCCCCCCTATCTCTCTCTCCCGCTCTCTCTCTTCAGCTAACGTGCTCTCCTCTCCACAGATTCAACCTTGTATTCCTCCCCTTCTCCCTATTCCCATCCTCTGTAGCTGATGTGCTCTCCCCCCCACAGATGTGACCTGGTCTTCCTCCCCCCCTCCTTCCCCATTGTTGCCATGGAGAACCCATGTCTGACCTTCATCATCTCGTCAGTCCTGGAGAGCTCTGAAGTCCTCCTCGTTGACCTGGTCCATGAGATCTCCCACGGCTGGTTCGGGAATGCTGTCACCAACGCCTCCTGGGAGGACATGTGGCTCAGTGAGGGACTGGCCACCTACGCTCAGAGGAGAATCACCAAGGAGGTGTATGGTGAGGAGGGGGAGGAGAGGATAGAGAGAGGAGGCAAGACGAGAGGAGAGGATAGAGAGAGGAGGAGAGAGGACATCAGAATCAGAATCACTTTTATTGCCACGTAGGTAACAGGAAGTCAGACTTGGAAATTGCTTGGCTCAGTGCAACAGTCAGAAATAGATAATAAAAAAATAAGAATAAAAACACTTCTAAGGAATAAATTTAAATTTAAAATAGAGTTACAATTACTATTTACAATTAACAAGTGCACATGGTGCACACAATGTAAGGTGACAGCAGTACAGTGAAGTAAAGTGATGTATGATGGGCAGTAAAGTGACTTATAAAGGGCGGGGGGACAGGTTAAGAAGTGTTCAAGAGTCCTACAGTGACAGTACCACAAACTCTCAGTGTGGAAACGTGTTATGGCGTGTTCATACCGCACTCTGCGTTGGGTTTGCATTCAAAATGAATGGTGGCGCGCCGAGAGGCTAGGCGTCTGTAGTTGGTGTCCAGGCGTCTGTAGTTGGTGTCCAGGCGTCTGTAGTTGGTGTCCAGGCGTCTGTAGTTGGTGTCCAGGCGTCTGTAGTTGGTGTCCAGGCGTCTGTAGTTGGTGTCCAGGCGTCTGTAGTTGGTGTCCTGGCGGACGATGCGAGCTCCGTTGCAGGTGAGCAGGTCATCAAACTGGGCGAGTGACAAATGTGGAAGTACAGCTGCGAAACTTATTCGGACGCAGCTCCTCGATTAAATGGTGAAACTCAGCAAACACTGCAAAAACAAAGACGCGAAACCAACCATCATAATGCGCTTTGTTAATAGGAAGCACAAAGTGGATCTGCTGCGTCAGGCTAAGATGCTAAAAGGCACCGGAGTTTATTTGAATGAACACTTAACAAAAAAGAACGCCGATATTGCCAGACATGCACGAAATCTCAGAAGACAAAATAAAATCCAAGGAACGTGGACACGGAACGGACAAGTGAAGATTAAGCTGAATGGTACGCCAGAAGAGGCCAAAGTTATCACTATCAGAGAGCTGAAAGACCTGGATCCATATCAATGAACTATTCCATGCTGACAGAATTCCGACACTTTGGTTTAATGGAAAAAATGAAAATAAAAAAATCCCATGTCAAACGCGCTGAGACAGTGATCACTTTTAGTTGGACTAAGTTAATTGAAACTGGACAAGAAAGAACATGGGAGTCACTTTTTCTGTTACTTTTTAATTTCAAAATGATGTTGGATTATGATATTGGATTCCTGTCGAAGAGATGGGCAAACAATATGACATTGGACACTAAAAGAAACGAAGAGAAATGGTCCATGACGCACGGATTACGCACAGCAAAAGGAGGTCAGGTGATTTTACGCACAAACATACAAGCAGGATCCTATGACCCTACGTCCAACTTAACATAAAATGACTAATTTGGAGCAAGACTTAGACCCGGAAAGACAATTCTACAATAATTTAGACATACAATGTGACTACTACACGGCAGAACAGTATAGGGAAAAAGTTAAAATGGATGGGAATTTGTCTGTAATACATATAAATAGCAGGAGTCTTTGGAAAAATATGACAAAAATTAGGGACCTGCTGCAATTATTCGATAAATTTAGTATCATAGCAGTATCTGAAACATGGCTGGATAATGGGAAAATTAGTGGAATGCAAATGGAAGGGTATGAGCTACACACAATACATAGAAAAGACAGAAAAGGTGGGGGTGTTGCTATCTACGTTGACTCAACACTGAACTTTAAATTAGTTAAAAATAAATCAATAGCTGTAGAAAATGTATTTGAATGTGTTACTGTTGAACTTGAATCAAAGCAATTCAAAAATATACAAGTTACCTGTGTATACAGAACTCCAAGATCCCCCATAGATGTATTTACTGAAAAAGTGAATCATTTGCTCAATGCCAATGGGCCTACTACTAAAGACCAAATAATATGTGGAGATTTTAATATAAATCTACTGAATGCACCAACTCATGAAAAGACCTGCAATTTTATTAATATGATGTATTGCAATTCCCTCCTACCAATTATAGACAAACCAAGCAGGATAACGACAGACACCACTACCTTGATTGATAACATATATACTAGTAAGATTGAAGGTAAAATAGTCGGTGGCTTGCTGATAAGTGATATAAGTGACCACCTTCCAGTATTCGCAGTCTACCAAAATTACACTTTTGAAAGTCAAACTTACAAGCCAGAATACAAACTAATACGTCGTTTAACACCAGGAAGATTAAATAATATTAGAGAAGATCTGGACAAAATGAACTGGGAGAACGTGTATTCACAGACTAACCCAAATTATGCATATGAATCCTTCTTGTCCAGTTTTTTGGCAATATACAATAAAAACTGCCCACTTAAAGAGGTAAAGACTTATCTAAATGTTGTCAAAAAGCCGTGGATAACTAGAGGGCTAGAAAACGCATGCAAAAAGAAAAATGTATTATATAAAGAGTTTTTACAACTCAGGACAATGGAATCTGAAATTAAGTACAAAAAGTACAAAAACAAGCTGATAAGCATAATAAGAAAGAGCAAAAAGGACTACTTTGATACTTTATTTGAAGAGCAAAAACATAATATCAGGGGTACTTGGAAAGTGATTAATAATGTTCTTAAAAGGAGAGAAAGCATGCCTGCTATCCCAAACTACTTTGTTCATGATAGCTCCAGACTTGAAACAATAAAAGAAATAGTCAATGGTTTCAACCATTATTTTGTAAACGTCGGTAATAAACTGGCAAAAAATATTGTTAGGTTTTTATGCATATCTCCATGTGATGCAGTAAACAGAAATCCAAACACTTTCTATCTAAATCCTACAAATGAAACAGAGATAGTGAAAGTAGTAAACAAATTTCAAACAAAAACATCTAAAGACTCCTTGGGAATAGATATCAATCTTATTAAGAACACAATCAAATTTATAGCTCCACCGTTGACCCACATTTGTAATCAATCATTCAAAATGGGTGTATTCCCAGACTCAATGAAAATAGCAAGGATCTTTCCAGTGTACAAACAAGGTGATAGACACCTGTTCTCAAATTATAGACCAATTTCAGTTCTCTCTCAGTTTTCAAAAGTAATAGAAAAAATATTTGTGCACAGACTAGATACATTCTTAGACAAATATAACCTCTTAAGCGATCATCAATATGGTTTTAGGAAAAACCGCTCCACCTCAATGGACGTTATGGAGCTGGTAGAAAATATATCAAAATCAGTAGATTCAAAGAAATACAGTGTGGGTGTCTTCATTGACCTTAAGAAAGCTTTCGATACTATAGATCACAACATTCTATTACAGAAATTAGAAAAATATGGACTTCGAGGACTATCACATTCATGGATACAAAGCTACCTACAAAACCGATCGCAATATGTTGAGATATATAATAAAAAATCAGAACTATTAAATATTACCTGTGGTATCCCTCAGGGATCAACGCTTGGGCCAAAACTTTTTATTATTTACATTAATGATTTAGTTACAGTTTCAAAAGCACTGGATTATGTCCTGTTTGCGGATGATACTACTCTTCATTGTGCAGGTGATGACATAAATCAGCTCATAAAATTGGTGGAGGTGGAATTGCATAAAATTAAACTCTGGTTTGATATCAACAAATTATCACTAAATATTGGGAAAACTAAATATATAATATTTGCAAAGCGGAACATTTCAAACCACGTTGAAATCAATCTAAATAACACTCCCCTGGAACGAGTCTATGAGAACAAGTTCCTGGGAGTGACTATAGACCATGTGCTCAGTTGGAAGTCACACATAAATAATATTAGAAGTAAACTGTCTAAAGTAATAGCAATAATATATAAATACAGATATATCTTAAATAAAAAGAGTCTACTTATTATATATAACTCATTAGTAATGCCCTATATTACATATTGTATTGAGATATGGGGCAACACTTATAAAAGTAATACTAAACCAATTTTCATACTGCAAAAAAAGGCAGTAAGAGCAATTACATTATCAGCCTACAACGAGCCAACAAATGCACTGTTTATACATTTACAAATATTAAAATTCTATGATTTAGTCGACCTTTATAGTTTGATAGTAATGTTCAAGATAAAAAATGACCTTCTGTCTGAACCACTACAGAAACTGTTCACAATCAGAGACAGTCATTATGAACTGAGAGGAACAGACATGTTCAAAAAACAAAAATGTAGAACTAATGTAATGAAAAGCTGTTTGTCTATTAGAGGGGTTGATCTCTGGAAGGGATGCACAAACGAACTTAAAACCTGCAATTCACTGTACCACTTTAGAAGGATGTTTAAAACTATCATTTTGGATGGCTACCTGAACTCAGATTTCTGATGTTGATATAGTTGCTAATTTAAATGCTATTGTTTACAATCACTTATACTAATGACACCTGTAAAAAGGGTAGGCAATATAAGCATTAGCTTCAGCCTACTCCTTTTCGGTCTTTGTTTCTGCTGTAATTTACTATCCTGGCGATGTGTAAAATGCACAAGTGACCGAAATAAAATATAAGAAGAAGAATAAGAAGAAGCCTCAAGTCTGTGTTGAACCCAGAACACGTGTAGAAGCTACAACCACGTTGCATGGCTTTATATAACTAAAAAAAGGCACGCTGCTCTCTGGAAATGGTGTTAACACACCATTACAGTAGCTGTTTCCGGGACAACGTTTGTTGTTGTCGTTGCCATGACGATAGGTGTTGTTGCCATGACGACGTGGGTTGTTGCCGTGACGACAGTTGTCGTTGCCATGACGATAGGTGTTGTTGCCATGACGACGTGGGTTGTTGCCGTGACGACAGGTGTCATTGCCATGATGATGGGTGTTGTTGCCATGACAACAGGTGTGTTTCTCAGGTGATGCCTTCACGTGTTTGGAGACTGTGGTTCGTTTGGATGCTCTGCACCGACAGCTGAGACTCGTGGGAGACACCAGCTCTGTGAGCAGACTGCAGGCTCCTCTGGAGAGAGGTACGACCTCTGACCTCTGACTCTGACCTCTGTCTTTGACCTCTGATTCTAACCTCTGATTCTGACCTGTGACTCTGACTTCTGTCTTTGACCTCTGACTCTAACCTCTGACTCTGACCTCAGGAGTGAACCCCAGTTCCCTCATGAACCTCTTCACGTATGAGAAAGGATTCTGCTTCGTGTCGTATCTGTGTGAGGTCTGCGGATCTCAGAGCGAGTTTGACCTGTTCCTCAAGGTGAACATTAGAGCTGACCTTAGAGCTGACCTTAGAGCTGATTGACCTTAGAGCTGACCTTTGAGCTGTGTAGAGCTGACCTTAGAGCTGACCTTTGAGCTGTGTAGAGCTGACCTTAGAGCTGTGTGGAGCTGACCTTAGAGCTGACCTTTAAGCTGTGTAGAGCTGACATTAGAGTTGTTTAGAGCTGCTGTTGTGTTGCAGGATTATATCGCTCAGTTTCAGTTCCAGAGTGTTGTGGCTCAGGACCTGATCCTCTGTTTCCTGCAGCACTTTCCACATCTGCACAGCACCACCTACAGGACAGGTCAGGAACTACACACACAGAAAAAAGACACACACACACAGCACCAACTACAGGACAGGTCTGGAAACAAGCACGCACGCACACACACACAGCACCACCTACAGGACCGATCAGGAACTACACACACACACACAGACTGAGGTGGTCACCTTTCTTCACAGACCTGCAGTTGGACCAGTGGCTCTCTGCCTGTGGACCTCCGCTGTATGAGCCTGACCTGTCTGCAGGGGGCACTCTCACGCAGCCTGTGTTTGACCTGCTGTCTCTGTGGAGCCAACACATGACCTCTGACCTCTGCAACTTAAGCCCCCCCTCCCCCCACTTTACCTCTGACCTCTGCAGCTGGAGCACCTTTCAGATTGTCCTGTTCCTCGACCGCCTACTGGACCAAGCGCCCCTCCCCCAAGGTCTGTATCTGCTCTCTGATTGGCCCTGAGAGCTGATGTGTCTCTCTCTCTGCTCGGCTCTCAGAGCTGATGTCTCTCTCTCTCTGCTCTCTGATTGGCTCTCAGAGCTGATGTCTCTCTCTCTGCTCTCTGATTGGCTCTCAGAGCTGATGTCTCTTTCTCTCTGCTCTCTTATTGGCTCTCAGAGCTTCTCTCTCTCTCTCACTCTCACTCTCACTCCCTGCTCTCTGATTGGCGCTCAGAACTGATGTCCCACCTCTCAGCCTGTTACTCCGCCCACTTCTGGAAGCTTAATGCAGAGGTTCAGATCCGCTGGCTGCAGCTGTGTGTGCGCTGTGGCTTCTGCAGCGAGATGTTCAGGGTCAGAGACTTCCTCCATAAGCACGTGAGTGAACAAATGAACATATGGACACATGATTATATATGAACATATATTCATAGGTTCATGTTATATGAACCTATGAACACATGAACATATGAATGTATGAACACATTAACTTGAATATAAGAATGAGCACATGAATAGATGAATGAACACATGATTGCAGACTTCCCGTATGTACACGCTGCCGCTCTATGAGGAGTTGGCGTCCGGATCCTTGAGGAGTCGCGGCCTGGAAATCTTCAACCAATCACAGAGAAGTCTACATCCAAGTCTGAGGCGGAGTCTGCAGGCCCTGTTGACCAATCAGAGCACATCAGAGGGGTAAGCCTGTCTCCATAACAACCAACAAAACACCAGCTTTAAAAACATGTTTTTTCATCACAGGAACAATCACAGCACGGTTAAGACACTACATAAAGGACCTCCAGCCAATCACAATGAAGGACTTCCAGCCAATCACAATGAAGGACTTCCAGCCAATCACGATGAAGGACCTCCAGCCAATCACGATGAAGGACTGCCGGCCAATCACGATGGAGGACAACAGGCCAATCACGATGGAGGACAACAGGCCAATCACGATGGAGGACAACAGGCCAATCACGATGGAGGACAACAGGCCAATCACGATGGAGGACAACAGGCCAATCACGATGGAGGACAACAGGCCAATCACGATGGAGGACAACAGGCCAATCACGATGGAGGACAACAGGCCAATCACGATGGAGGACAACAGGCCAATCACGATGGAGGACAACAGGCCAATCACGATGGAGGACAACAGGCCAATCACGATGGAGGACAACAGGCCAATCACGATGGAGGACAACAGGCCAATCACGATGGAGGACAAAAGGCCAATCACAATGGAGGACCGCTAGCCAATCAAAATGGCGGTCAAAGTTCAGAGAACAAGACTCAAAATGGCAAACAGATTAAACAAAATGGTGGACAAATGCAGAACCCAGGAGCAACCAATCACAAAGCAGCGTGTTATCAGCTATCGCCACCCAGTCAGGCTTAACAGACCCGGACCAGACCCAGACCAGCACCAGACCTGCACACGGCTCGTTCTTCTCAGGATCTAAACTCAAGGCAATTATGACAAAAAAGAAAAGTTATTTGAAATAAAGTGAAAATTTAAATATATTTTCTGGAAAATTAAAGGATCTTTTCTCTTTTTTAATCTGTGTATTTATATATATTACATATATACATACATTTACACACACACAGCACCACCTACAGGACAGGTTTGGACACACATAAAAAAGACACACAGACCCAGACCAGCATATGGCTCGTTCTTCTCAGAATCTAAACTCAAGGCAATAATGACAAATAAAAAAAGTTGTATTTGAAATACTGAATTATTAAATAAAAATTTCTGTTCTGGTGTGATCTGTGTATAATTTTATATACAGTAGATAGTACAGATATATATACATATATATATATATATACAGTGGGGCAAAAAAGTATTTAAGTGCACGTTCTCCCACTTAAAATAATAACAGGTCTGTAATTTTCATCATAGGTACACTTCAACTGTGCGAGACAGAATGTGAAAAAAAAAATCCAGAAATTCACATTGCAGGATTTTTTAAGATTTTTTTTGTGAACTATGATGGAAAAAAAGTATTTGGTCAATAACAGAAATTCAACTCCATACTTTGTAATATAACCTTTGTTGGCAATAACAGAGGTCGAACAAGTCTTTACCAGGTTTGCACACACAGTAGCTGGTATTTTTGTCCCATTCCTCCATGCAGATCTTCTCAAGAGCAGTGATGTTTGGGGGCTGTCGCCGAGCAACACGGACTTTCAACTCCCTCCACAGATTTTCAATGGGGTTAAGGTCTGGAGACTGGCTAGGCCACTCCAGGACTTTCAAATGCTTCTTACGGAGCCACTACTTCGTTGCCCGGGCGGTGTGTTTGGGATCATTGTCATGCTGGAAGACCCAACCACGTTTCATCTTCAAATCTCTCACTGATGGAAGAAGGTTTTGGCTCAAAATCTCACGATACATGGCCCCATTCATTCTTTCCTTAACACGGATCTGTCGTCCTGTCCCCTTAGCAGAAAAACAGCCCCAAAGCATGACGTTTCCACCCCCATGCTTCACTGTAGGTATGGTGTTCTTGGGATGCAACTCAGTATTCTTCTTCCTCCAAACACGACGAGTTGAGTTTATACCAAACAGTTCTACTTTGGTTTCATCTGACCACATGACATTCTCCCAATCCTCTGCTGTAGCATCCATGTGCTCTCTGGCAAACTTCAGACGGGCCTGGACATGCACTGGCTTCAGCAGGGGGACACGTCTGGCACTGCAGGATTTGATTCCCTGTCGTCGTAGTGTGTTACTGATGGTAACCTTTGTTACTTTGGTCCCAGCTCTCTGCAGGTCATTCACCAGGTCCCCCCGTGTGGTTCTGGGATTTTTGATCACCGTTCTCATGATCATTTTGACCCCACGGGATGAGATCTTGCGTGGAGCCCCAGATCGAGGGAGAATATCAGTGGTCTTGTATGTCTTCCATTTTCTGATAACTGCTCCCACAGTTGATTTGTTCACACCAAGCTGCTTGCCTATTGTAGATTCACTCTTCCCAGTCTGGTGCAGGTCTACAATTATTTTCCTGGAGTCCTTCGACAGCTCTTTGGTCTTGGCCATAGTGGAGTTTGGAGTCTGACTGAAGAGCTTCTTAAAGAAGAAGTTACAGGTCTGTGAGAGCCAGAGATCTTCCTTGTTTGAAGTGACCAAATACTTATTTTCCACCATAATTTACAAATAAATTCTTTCAAAATCCTACAATGTGAATTCCTGGATTTTTTTTTCGCATTCTGTCTCTCACAGTTGAAGTGCACCTATGATAAAAATTACAGACCTCTGTCATTATTTTAAGTGGGAGAACTTGCACAATCGGTGGCTGACTAAATACTTTTTTGCCCCACTGTGTATATATACATTATATATATATATATATATATATATACATATAATATATATATATATGTATATATATATATATATATAATATATATATATATATATATATATATATATATATATATATATATACCTTGCGAAAGTATTCCTTTCAACATTTCGCCACATTTCAGGCTTCAAACATAAATCATGAATCAACAAGTGGGACACAATCGTGAAGTGGAACGAAATTTATTGGATAATTTAAACTTTTTTAACAAATAAAAAAAGTGGGGCGTGCAATATTATGCGGCCCCTTTACTTTCAGTGCAGCAAACTCACTCCAGAAGTTCAGTGAGGATCTTTGAATGATCCAATGTTGTCCTAAATGACTGATGATGATAAATAGAACGCACCTGTGTGTAATCAAGTCTCCGTATAAATGCACCTGCTCTTTGATAGTCTCAGGGTTCTGTTTAAAGCGCAGAGAGAACCATGAAGACAAAGGAACACACCAGGCAGGTCCGAGATACTGTTGTGGAGAAGTTTAAAGCCGGATTTGGATACAAAAAGATTTCCCAAGCTTTAAACATCTCAAGGAGCACTGTGCAAGCAATTATATTGAAATGGAAGGAGTATCAGACCACTGCAAATCTACCAAGACCCGGCCGTCCCTCCAAACTTTCATCTCAAACAAGGAGAAGACTGATCAGAGATAATAATAATAATAATAATACCTTTAATTTGTAATGCACTTTACATACAAATCTCAAAGTGCTACAGCACAACAACAATAAAAGCACACATCATTAAAGTTAAAACGGTGTTAAAACAATGTTAAGAAGGAAAAAGAAAAGTTTTAAGTCCTCTTTTGAAGTTCTCCAATGACTGTGGGGCCCTCAGGTGTGGTGGTAGGGCGTTCCACAGTTTGGGAGCAGCCGCCTGGAAAGCCCTGTCACCCATTGTCCGGAGTTTAGTTCTGGGGATGGAGAGGGGGTTGGTGTCTGTGGACCGGAGTGATCTGGTTATGGGCGGAGGAGTGAGAAGTTCTGTGAGATAGTCCGGGGCATGTCCGTGGATGCATTGGTAGGTGAGGAGGCAGATTTTGTATTGGATGCGTTGGATGATTGGAAGCCAGTGAAGATCGCGGAGGACTGGGGTGATGTGCTGGTGCTTCGGCGTCCTCGTCAGGATCCTGGCAGCGGTATTTTGGATATGCTGAAGCTTTTGAAGGCTTTTTGCCGGGATCCCGACGAGGAGGGCGTTGCAGTAATCCAGCCTGGAAGAGACAAAGGCATGAACTAAAGTTTCAGCGTCAGAGGGGGAGAGAGTGGACCGGAGTTTGGAGATGTTTTTGAGATGAAAAAAGGAGATTCTACAGAGATTTTGGATATGGTGTTCAAATGACAGGATGGGGTCAAAAATGACTCCCGGGTTGCGGACAGTGGGGGAGAGGGGCAGGGTGAGACCGGAGAATGCAATACCAGAGATGGGGGGGGATTTGAGTTGGTGGGGGGTTCCGATAAGAATAGCCTCAGTTTTGGAATGGTTTAGTTGTAAGAAGTTTTCTGCCATCCATCCCTTTGTCTCCTCCAGGCAGGCTGCCAGACCTGAGTGTGGGGCTGATGTGGAGACAGAGTTAGTGCGCAGGTAGAGCTGAGTATCATCGGCATAGCAATGGAAGGATATACCATGCTTGCCGATGATGTGGCCGAGGGGGAGCATGTAGATGTTAAATAGGGTAGGGCCAAGGACCGACCCTTGAGGGACCCCGCATGTGACAATGCGGGGCCGTGACCTTGCGTCCCCCAGGGCCACGTACTCAACTCTACCTGCCAGGAATGACTTGAACCAGAGTGATCATGGGCCAAGAGGTCCATGATCACTCTGGATGAACTGCAGATAACTACAGCTGAGGTGGGAGAGTCTGTCCATAGGACAACAATCAGTCGTGCACTGCACAAATCTGGCCTTTATGGAAGAGTGGCAAGAAGAAAGCCATTTCTCAAAGATATCCAAAAAAGTCTCGTTTAAAGTTTTCCACAAGCCACCTGGGAGACACACCAAACATGTGGAAGAAGGTGCTCTGGTCAGATGAAACCAAAATCAAACTTTTTGGCCACAATGCAAAACGATATGTTTGGCGTAAAAGCAACACAGCTCATCACCCTGAACACACCATCCCCACTGTCAAACATGGTGGTGGCAGCATCATGGTTTGGGCCTGCTTTTCTTCAGCAGGGACAGGGAAGATGGCTAAAATTGATGGGAAGATAGTAAGTAAGCTTTATTTATATACCGCCTTTCACAGACCAGAGTCACAAAGCGGTTTACAATTGTTATTTTTGGGCACTTGTCCTCTCACTCCACACAGAGATGGGAGCGGGGTCGCCGAACAGGAGGCGCATGCCAGACCTATTGTACATATTTTTAGTGGTAGGGGAAACCGGAGTACCCGGAGGAAACCTACGCAGACACGGGGAGAACATGCAAACTCCACTCAGAAAGGCCCTTGTCCGGCCGGGATTCAAACCAAGGACCTTCTTGCTGAGAGGCGAGAGTGCTATCCACTCAGCCACCGTGCCGCCCGATAGATGGAGCCAAATACAGAACCATTCTGGAAGAAAACCTATTGGAGTCTGCAAAAGACCTGAGACTGGGACGGAGATTTATCTTCCAACAGGACAATGATCCAAAACATAAAGCAAATCTACAATGGAATGGTTCACAAATAGACGTATCCAGGTGTTAGAATGGCCAAGTCAAAGTCCAGACCTGAATTCAATCGAGAATCTGTGGAAAGAGCTGAAGACTGCTGTTCACAAACGTTCTCCATCCAACCTCACTGAGCTCGAGCTGTTTTGCAAGGAAGAATGGGCAAGAATTCCAGTCTCTCGATGTGCAAAACTGATAGAGACATACCCCAAGCGACTTGCAGCTGTAATTGCAGCAAAAGGTGGCGCTACAAAGTATTAGCGCAAGGGGGCCGAATAATATTGCACGCCCCACTTTTGAGTTTTTTGTTTGTTAAAAAAGTTTAAATTATCCAATAAATGTCGTTCCACTTCACGATTGTGTTCCACTTGTTGTTGATTCTTGACAAAAAAAAGCCTGAAATGTGGCGAAATGTTGAAAGGTTCAAAGGGGCCGAATACTTTCGCAAGGCACTGTATATATATTTGTAGCACTTAGAATAAGTGTGTAAACTTTTCTTTAATATTGTAGAAATACTAGGAATACGGTACTGTTGAAATATATCAGTTAACAGGGAGCGCGTGAGATCCCAGATAGTGCGCGCGGGCCCTGGTATCTAACAGTGAAGTTTTTGAAAAAGCTGTTTTACTGAAGGACTTGTCATTTTGATCAGCTGCTGTCTGTTTGTGCTGTTTTTCCCGTTGTGTTCTCCGGAGGCATTAAAGAGCTCATTTTTCCACACCAAATTGTCAGAGTGGTGTTACATTTATACCTATTTTGATCGGAGAGCCCATTTATAAAGCACTTTGTGCGACCTTGGTCTGTGAAATGAAAAATAAAAGATTGCTTACTTTAGAGGTTAGGGTTCAAATCCCAGTCCAAACAGGGTCTATGTTAGTGGAGTTTGCATGTTCTCTCCGTGTCTGCGTAGGTTTCCTCCAAGTGCTCTGATTTTCCCTACCACTAAATCCTCCAGCTCTGGTCCTAACCAAGCTAAGCATCAACATCTGGAGATCGGTTCCCGGGCGCTGTTTCTATGACGACCACTGCCTCTGACGGAAGCCCTTGTGGCAACAGGATGGATCAAATGCAGAGGACAAATTTCCCTAAGGGGATAAATAAAGTGCACATTTACATACATTTTTATAATCTATAATTACTACAGCACACATGTACAATAACCCATTAAACTGTACTGTCTCCCTACTGTGCTGTCTGACCCAAAAGTTACATTCTTGAATAATCCTTTTGGGAGCTATCTGAAAAAGGGGCATATATGTGTATATATATATATATATATATATATATATATATATATATATATATATATATATATATATATATATATATATATATATATATATATATATATATATTGACATGATGGAGCCTGAATTTGGCTGAAGACTGAGGTAATACATGTCTGTGGTGCTGGAGATGAAGTTGTTTTGATGACACTATAAAGCAATGGTGTAGGTTTGGTTCCAATCTTGGTGGGGACATTCACTACGACCTGAGTCTACACCCATTGACACGGGGTCCAGAGTTTCTCCCCCAGAATTTGTTGTGTAATCACACACTATATTTGCAATAGTGTGTTGCCTTCTATACTAAACTCAGCTGTAGACTGAATGAGAAGCAGTTATCTATGTTAACAGAAGATTAATCATCACAATTCATAATTTGCTATTACTTGTGCTTTCTCTTACTTACTTTCCAACTGTTAAAAAAGCTCCTGATATCTTTTATCTTATTTGTGGAGGTGGCATTTTTTCTAAATTATATAAGAAGGTATAGACAATCAAAAACAGACATTCATATACATGAACTGCAGAATCATTTATATAACTTGGCCAATGTCAAAAGTTACATAGTATTTCTCAATACAATGAGTTAACAAGAGTTTGGCAATAAGTAACAGTGTGGATTTTTCTATATTTTCTTTTTTTTATTCCACTCTCTACCCAAAAAGGCAAGTAATGACTCACAGGGCTCTCAAGTATGCAAAGTAAAAACTTAAATGACCTGTTGTGGTGTGTTTTGCGCACAACCAGCATGCATCGTTAACGCAATGGAAAATTTAGGTATCCGAGCTTTAATTTCGGGAGCGCTGGTTGCGCTTTGGGAAGAGTCAGGGGAGAGACATGTCAGAGACACAAGGGGAGAAACGGGGGAGATACGAGGGAGACCCGCACTTGCAACATGGTTCTGTCTGCATATGGTCCGAGCTCGGTACCATGTTAGAGCTGTGCTTTCACTGAGCGCCGCGGCTGTCATTACAAAGCGGCAGCAGCTGCACCAGGACGTGCACATTCGAGTGCATCTCTTGAATGTGCTTAGAGCAAATAACAGCAAGTGCCCGCTGTCACACATTTCACAGAAATTACATTATCAGCAGATAAAGGTTGTAAATCGTGGATCCGTGGAATATTTTCATCCCTAGTTTATCCTGATTCACACAACACACCCACTTATACATTTTGGATAGTAAGAGCACAATAAGTATTTTTTCAGCCTTTCAACCAACCTGTTTCTTTATTGGAGCCAGTTCTGTTCTGTCTCTGTGCCGTGTGAGCTCCTCGGAACATTAAACAGTGCGCTGACAGATTAGAAATAACGTAAGTACTTTGAATGGTAATAGATCTACAGTACTTTCCTCTGATTACTCACGTGCTACAACGCTCAGGGAACGAAAAAAAACACTTGCTTCACGCTGGCTAACTTTTAAAAATTAAACAGTCGCTCAGTGCTTCAGTTTGGCGCTGAAGAAGACAGCCAATCACTGCAGAGAACGGAACGGGTCACGTGCTGCTGCTGCTGCTGTTGCTCTGGAGGCGAGGAGGAGGCGCGACGTATGCACAAACAGAAGACATGTGTCCCGGACCGTCCGGGTCCCGGGACATCATGTCATTTTGGTGGGGACTTATTAGTCCTCACCAAATATTGGTGGGGACATGTCCCCATGGTCCCCACGCAAACCTACGCCCTTGCTATAAAGGTTAATTTAGAGTTAGCAACAGGGGGCCACAGAAAGGACATAACGGGCAGCAGTTGGCCCCCTGGCCTCAGTGTGGAGACCCCTGCTGTAAAAAGGTTTTTTTCCAACTGTTGTCTCTGGACTGAAGTTAAAACATGTTCTAACTACAATCTAAAATAACCAACAATAAAATATATATTCTATTAACATAATTAATTAATAATTAAAACATAATAGTTTGTATTCAGGCAGCTCGCGGGTCACCCCTCCTCCTCATATGCGTCTCCAGGACCCCATCACTTCCTTTCCGCCATCTTTGCTGCTCAGAGCAGGTAAACTCCGCCATGTTTAACAAACAAACTGTAATAACCGAATATTTACGGCTCATCCGCGGTCAATACTGGCCGGGTAGTGTGTGGGAGAGTGTCTGCTTGGCGGAGGTGAAATCCGGGGTGAGAGTATTGAGGGATGCGGCTGATGGAGGTGGATGGCGTTAAAGCGGCTGTAGGCAGCAGTGTAGCCCACAGAGGGGTGTGCGGAGCCGGGCAGGCACTGCGCTGGTCTCCGGTCTGTGAGAGTGGTGGAGTAACCCGGGTCTGACTTTTAGCGTCATGTGTGGTCATTATGCGTGGTTCTGGTCAAGTTAGCTGTAGCATGAGGTCTGACGCTGTGTTTGTTGCAGGTGAAACAGAAGAACCGAACATGCCTGGAAGGTGAGTAACATGTTTTAATGTTAAAAGGTACTATAACTTTTGACCTATTAATGTTCATGAGGCTAGAGGACTGTCACCGCGCAATCTTCAAATATAGTGGTTGAGAAAGGATTTCGTTTCACATGTGCTGTTAATATTGTTTCCACTGAGCCCTCACAAGTTTGAAGTAGGAACCATGGAGGACCAGTTATATAAAATGACTCGAACCCGAAAAAGAATTATGCCAAAATCTAAACTGGCGCCATCGATCAACTTTTATTTATACAACAGTTCTTACAGATTGCAACCAAAAGTGCTTCACATTGACAACGTTTTAAACCAATTCATCTCCGCAAACTGTCAACATCGCATACCACATGCCCCAAAAGGCAGTTAAAACAGGAGGCACATACAGGGATCCAGAGTTCCGAGCTTCCGGCTCGACCGCACGGCATTGTGGGTAGTTTTCTCAAGTGGGCATCAAATCACGCTCTCCTATTAGATTACCTGTTGCGAGTGTGATCTGTCTTTTTTTCCAGCCCATCGATTATAATCGCTACAAAAATCACCAATTTCAGACATTTAGAAGGTAAAGATTTTTTCATGTAACAAAAAAGCAATGCATTGTTTTTCTTGTGGTTTTAGATGTAAACACAACCGACTGACTTTAGAGCTTCATGTAGCTTATGCTACTTACGAAGATCGAATACTTACACGCAAGCTTTATAAACATATTTGTCTGGTGTGGAGCTTCTGAATGTAGAGAAGGCCAAATACCTGGGGCACGCAATCAGGAGTGACCTCAGTGAAGACGATGACATTCAGAGGCAGTACTGTATGGACTGGCTAACACAAGCACGGAGATTTCACATGTGTAAAGTCAAAATAACTTTGTTTAAAGCTTACTGCACACCTCTCTATACTGCCAGCTCACTGTTTGTTCTTAATAATGTCCCCACTCTGAATGCTCTGATCAGAAATGTTATTTATAAGTTCATGAAACACTCTGAGGGCTCTATGTCCAAAGTACAGCTTTGGGTAAGTTTTATAAAGCTCACGTGTAAGCATTCGATCCTCGTAAGTAGCATAAGCTACATGTAGCTCTATCGTTAGTCGGTTGTGTTTACATCTAAAACCACAAGAAATAAATGCATTGCTTTTTTACCTTACCTTCTAAATTGGTGATTGTTTTAATTGCTACAAATATCGATGGGCTGAAAAGAGACTGATCACGCTCGCAACAGGTAATCTAATAGGAAACCGTGATTTGATGCCCACTTTTTTGAGAACTACCCTCAATGCCGTGCGGTCGAGCCGACGGCTCAGAACTCTTGATCCCTGTATTGCTGTAGTTCGTACACAAGACTCACACGTACATAATTTGTAACTGTCTTCACACCGACAGTGTTGAGAACGTGGCAGAATCTGCAACACAGGTCTCCAGATGCTCTGACTCGATCAGCCCAACTATGGCCACAAGTTTCAACAACTTATCCAGGGACAAGTCTTAAATAAAAAAAACACAGAATCCTTGTAAAACAATCGCCAAAATACGTCTTTCAACAACGTGAGTTTGAACATTCAGTTTTCTTACCAGGGTGTGGACGCTGCACCTGAAGTTTATAATCTGAGCTGTTAGCCACAGTGTGTACCAATATCCTGGCTTCTCTGATCATCGCCACAGAGTCCCTCAGTCTCCTCACTCCGTGTTTCGCTGTAGAACGCTGACTTTGTTTACGTGCAATGGAGACACTTTTGTTTATGTCCGCGCTACTGTGTCAAGAGACCAGTGATGGTCATTTATCAAACTAATGGATTCTCTCCGTGGCCCCGGTTTGAATGGGCGGGAGTCGGGGGCCGCTGTCTTAAGCCCTATTCGGACGGGATTCGTTTGACATTGGTACCCCTGGTAATTTGTGATAATCGCAGAGGACGGCTGTGATTTTAGTCCCGTGCGAATGCGCCATGTCTGTAATTTGCAAAGTAATAATTCCACCGCAAATGACCTCCTGTATTTATCCAAACACAGACGTCCTCTGATAATACTAATCCCGTGCGAATCGGCATGTCAGTGATCGTGATTGCTATTGCCGCTTTCTCTTTGCTCATTGACAAAAAAAGAAAGTAGAGGAGTCATGTATTGCGGCTGTGAACACCTGCTGCTGTCTGAGGTTTGTGGAGAAGTGTAGAGGACAGTGTAATGTGTTCACTGACACTAAATGATCAGACCAATGGGTTGTGTTCGTACGTTTACTCTGCACTCCTACTACAGTACAGACGTGTTGATTCAGTCGTTACTGCAGCTGCTTGTTGGTTTTCGCGTATATTAGCAGAGTCTTTGGGGCGTTCACAGGTACAACTTTACAGAAACTACAGGCCAGAGAACTGTAGAGCAGTAAAATCCACATGTGTTTGTCCTCACGGTGGCTGTTGTGGTCAGACGTGAGACTTTGTGTGACTTTGTGGTGTTTTTTTTCAAACCGTTGCACCCCTACTCATGTGTGACGTCACTGGTAGCTTACAATAATAGAAACTGAATAACGTAAATTTTTACTGAACTTTCACGACAAAGTGATCAGAAAACCCTCTATCCCAGCTGTTTCAGCCTGATGCCCTGAGTGTCTGAACACTGGATGTGCTATATAAATAAACTAGTCTGACATGAGGTCTTCCTGTTCAATTTGTGACGAGTTCAAGTCCTGAGGAACTTTTAGTTTGGAGTAAATGGTGTTGATCATTAGAACAAGCTCTGTTTAAAGTGCTTCAGAGGCTGTAGTTGTGGATTCTCCATCAGCAGATAAAAGAATCGGTTAAAGAACGGCTGAGCAATGATGTTGCAACATGCCCCCTTGATTAACCTTTATGCACTGTGTCTCGGGACGAGGCTGACACCTGTGTAACATTTGTATCTCAGACTGTGGAGTAAAGCTATCTTCAGTGGGTATAAGCGTGGCCTGAGGAACCAGCGCGAGCACACTGCTCTGCTGAAGGTGGAGGGCTGCTACACCAGAGCTGAGGTCGACTTCTACCTCGGGAAACGCTGCGCCTACGTCTACAAGGCCAAGAAGTAAGTGCTGGGGAGACCAGGACTGAGGCTGGGGAGACTCCTGACCTCTCCTTGGTTGTGACTAGGGCTGGGCGATATGGATGAAAACTGTATCACAGTATAAGTAATTCATATCTGTCAATAACAATATATATGGATTTTTTTTTTTTTTACCTGAATAAATACATTTGTCGTGTCTGCTAACACACGTTAGCAGCCCTGTTTACAGTCACGGGGAATGAGGCTGGAGGAATATGTTCACAACCAGTCTCCCCCATAGTTAGTCCTGGTTCATCTCCTGTTTTGTGTCCCCATGACGACTCCGTGCGGCTATCAGAGCGGCCGCACGGAGTCAAAAGTTCATCTCTCTCTGGGCGGCACGGTGGCTGAGTGGATAGCACTCTCGCCTCTCAGCAAGAAGGTCCTGGGTTCGAATCCTGGTCGGACCAGGGCCTTTCTGAGTGGAGTTTGCATGTTCTCCCCGTGTCTGCGTAAGTTTCCTCCGGGTACTCCGGTTTCCCCTACCACTAAAAATATGTCCAATAGTTCTGGCATGCGCCTCCTGTACTGGCGACCCCGCTCCCATCTCTGTGTGGAGTGAGAAACAAATGCCCATAATTAACTATTGTAAACCGCTTTGAGACTCAGATCTGCAGTGAAAAGGCGGTATATAAATAAAGATTACTAAAGATTACTATTACTACTCTTGCTTTCGCCGCATGCATCAGGTCTGTCCACTGCCTCTCCCGTGCCGCACATGCTATGCCTGACACGGACGTGCATAACCATTGACACGGCATTGAAAAACGATCTATAGATCCATGGACGCTACGCATGGTGCAATTGTTGTTTTTGAATTTCCCAGAATGTAAGGGGTACATCGTTGCCTGTGATAGGTTGAGAAGCCTATGCCTACATCCCCCAGAATGCCGCGCGCTTCTGACTCTGCTTTACTTCCTGTGTTTTCTTCTGTTTTTTTTCTTACGTAGTGAAGTTGAACATTCTATCGACCCAGTTTTCAATTGATATTGAACACGTGTCTATCTCAATATATATTGTTATCGTTTGATCACCCAGCCCTAGTTGTGGCCTCTCCTCGGTAGTGATCTCTGACCTCTCCTCAGGAACACTGTGACCCCTGGAGGTCAGCCCAATAAGACCCGTGTGATCTGGGGGAAGGTGATGCGAGCTCACGGCAGCAGTGGGATGGTGCGCGCCAAGTTCAACAGGAACCTGCCAGCAAAGGCCATTGGCCACCGCATCAGAGTGGTACTGTTACTATGATACAATACTTGCACTACTCCAGTAGTGTCTCATGCTGTTGCAGATGCTAATTTGTGTTGTGTTGCAGATGCTGTACCCGTCTCGAGTCTGAAGACTAACGTTTATTTGTAAATAAAATGAACCTTGTTCAAACTGAGGCTTGTGTGGTTCGTTTTACAGTTGACTATAGACTGTAAATATTAAGACGTGACTCCATATATATATATATATATATATTTTTTTTTTTTATATAAAGCTAAATAGATTTTGGGTCCAATTTGTTAAACACTATTAAAGGACAAATAATTGTCAATTAGATGGTGAAAGTACTGAACAAGAGGAACTATGGTTACATACTTTAGGTAAAAATATCAAGTTTTAAAAAACTTGTCATTGCTGTATTTGTAGAGCAACAAAAAAACCTGGGTTGGCTGATTTGTGTAAGACTCAGTGTGTAACATCTCAATATTCAGATTGAAGTTTCACAACCGACGTTACAACCACAAACTAATACATGAGTTTTGTACTGTATCTATAAAAATCACCATCTAGAAGTTGTTGCACAGTATTTCTGTTCTTGTTGGATGTACTGTAAATATTGTTAAACCAAATACAATTGTGAGGTTAGTATTTTATAAACTGCAAAACCTGATTGCAGGTTTCGCATGGCGCCGTAAAGTGTGTAGTCTGGTGCACACTGGGGTAGTCTTGCACAGTTTTTCCAATGTGGTTTTACTGCAATTGGCAAATAAATTAATCTGAAACCAACAGTAAAGGGACAGACAGATTCAGACTTACCAATGCAATAATTTGGGAATTCCATAAACAATTGACTTCTTCAAAATCGTTTTATCCAATCCACCTTCAGCTAGTTAGGATCGCTGGGATTTGGTAAAAGTTCCTTCAGAGATTGAGACATCTAGTGTTGAGAATGTCAGGCTCTGGACAGTCCATCTCTTAAGTTAGATATTAGTTTTCTCTATGGCATCTGAGCGATTAGTCATTTTTATGCCTGAAAGAGTCACTGTCCTTCACAGGGCGCTGCAAACATCTGTAAGATCAGTATTATACAGGGTTAGAATGTCACATTAAAAAAAAAGTTTTAGCGGAGAAATGTTTGAAAATGCAGACATTGTGCACAAAGCTCATCAGTTCAACTAAGATATTTTTATTTCTTGCTCAAAAACGTTAATCCCTTGAAAGGAGCTTTGTCAAATCAAATTTAGAATTTGTCGCACAAGTAAAAATGTGAGACTGACCTTCACTATATGAAATCTGTACGATTTACCATAGAGCAGTTTTACAGCACTGGTGTTATCCCAATTAAAAGTCTTCAAGAACTCAGACTTTAGGGTTGATTTAAATTCCATTCAACATATTCTTGTATCGCCTTTGATCACAACAGTAGTTCTCAGGACTGCACAAAGCTGTTGATTCGCCAACGATTATCAGAATCAGAACGTTCAGACACAGAGAGAACATGGAGGTGTTGGTCTATTGGAGGAGTCGACCAAGATTTATATTCCCAAGATTTGGTCCGAACACAAAGCTAAGTCTCGCCACGGTGACTCCTCATGATTCCAGGACACAAACATTGACTCATCATTCTGCTGCAGACCAGAAAAAACCTCTAGGTTTATTTCGTTTTCCATTACGGTGCTCAGCACGTCAAAACTGCCCCTTATCACAGTATTATCACGTTAGCTATAGCAATGGAGGCCAACAATGATTTTTTTTTTGGGTAATTCTGGTTTTATCAGAGTAAGACTGAATAGAAGGTGACACTTCTTAACCTTAATACATTTCTGGGTCGGGGGGTGGCAGTCAGAGCACCCAGTACATATAGCACCAGTCCTCACTGATCCTCCTGCAGGAGGTGAGTCCACAGATGTGAAACTTGTTTTACTTAAAGGCAGTGAACTCAGTGAAACACACACTCCCATCTCTCCTCACTGTGATAAGGAGGATCTCTAGTGGTCAGTGAGAGAATGCAAGAAAAATCACAATAAAATATTTATTTTAGTGAAAGTTTCAAAAACAGTTTGTACATTTGTTTTATATTTGTATAAATCTATTTACAACAGACTTTGTACAGAGGCCCCCAGGGTCAGAGACAGGGATCGGGGTCAGAGGTGGTGCCCTCGGGAATGCTTGGATGATTGACAGTTTGACTTTAGTGTTTATAGTTACGTCTGTTTCGATCCAAACTTTAAAACATTTTCTAAATAACTTATGTTCAATTATCTACATGATTTACACCAAGGCTTCTTCCAAAGAGGCACATAGTGACTCCCACGGACCTCACACCAAAATATACATTTAATCACCCAACAGACTGTGTTTGAAGAGACCAGAAAGAGACCAGAGAGGGACAGGGGGATGAGACTCCTGATCTGAGTCAGAGGTCTTCACTAACACTGAGGGTTTGTTTCTGAAAGAAGCAAATAGTGAACTTAAAACACAGCCTGAGTTGGGCGTGGTCACACACAGTGAGGCATGGTCACACAGATGGGGGTGTGGCTGTGGTTGCCGTGGATACAGAGTGACGGGGCGGGGCCAGCTGCAGCAATGCACTGACAGTTCCAGCCACCAGAGGGAGCCCTTTCTCCTCCAGGATGTGCAGAGGGAGGCACAGGTCACTCTGAGGGGGAAAGAGAGGTGAGCTAATGCTAGGATAATCAATGCCTACAAACGACTTACGCTAGGCTAATGAAGGCTAGTGATCTGCTAATGCTAGGCTAATAAAGGCAAACAATCTGCCGACGCTAGGTTAATGAGGGCTAACCTTAAGCTAAAGTTGGGGGCGTGTCTGTATAGCAACTCACCGGCGGGACTCCGATTCGTCGACACGCCTCCAGGAAGTTCTCCACGTTTCTGCGACACTTTGCCATTGTCAGTTTGGGCTGAAAGAGGAGGAGAGAGGGATTAAAACAACGGACATACTTGTGGCAGTACTAGTAGCAGTCCTTGTAGTAGACTCACCACAGCGGGGGAGGGCACGTGGATGCTGGACACAGATCTCGGTCGGACGTGATTTGCTAAATGGCACAAAACCACTCCATCTGTAAGAGCTGATCCCAGATCTGTGGGCAGTGCCACCTTCAGGCGAGACTCGATATTCTGCAGATACACACACAAGAGGAACATACACACAAGGATGAGGAAGAGGAACAGGAACACACACACACACACACACACACACATACAGTATATGTTGTAGCAGCAGCAGTAGTAGTAGTATTATTATATATTATGTATATTGAACCTTGCGCAGTTGTTCCACTCCTTCAGCCTCCTCTTCGTCCAGAGTGGAGGGTTTGCTCTCAGAAACACAGTCTGTAAAAGAGGTCAGAGGTCACACTGTCCTGTTTCTCTCTCTCTCCGTCCCCTGTCTCTCTCTCCGTGTCCTCTGTCTCTGTTTTCTCTCGTGTCTCTCTCTCAGTCCTCCGTCTCTCACCTGTCCTCCTGTCCTCTCTGTGTCCCACTCGATGAAGGAAGCTCTCTGGTCGACAGGGAGACACCGCACTCTGTGAACCTGAAGGAGCAGAGACAATGAGGACTGGAGCACGCACACACAGTGTGTTTTCTAATTGTGTCACTGGTATCAAAGCCTTTTAGATCAAAGTCGTAATACAAAGACGAGAGAGACCAGAGAGAGGCACCAGAGAGAGGCACCAGAGAGGGGGACCAGAGAGAGGGACCAGAGAGGGGGACCAGAGAGGGGGACCAGAGAGAGGGACCAGAGAGAGGGACCAGAGAGAGGGACCAGAGAGAGACATGTCTCTCAGACTGTTACCTGTGGGGGAGAGCGCAGTCCTGTCCTCGCCCTGAAACACAATCATCAGAGAATCTTTAAAAGGTCCAATATTACGCTTTTCTTCATGTTTCACAGTCAATCCTCTGCACATGTGTGATAACAATGTGTTTGATACACCATACAACACTCAACACTTGTGAGATTAGAGCCATCTCTTGTATAGAGGTGACGTCACCTCGACTCAAACGAGCCGATCCAGAGAAAAGTCTGCTCCTCTGTCCGTGAACCCACCTCCCCCCACCCTCACGTTGACGGAGCATCACGCTCTGAGTTGTTTATCACCGGTACATTTCAGACCTGAGAATAAACTTTTTCCAACATTGAGCCCTATGTCCTCGATCCAGGATTAGACCCTAATTATTTATTTAACAGAAGTATACGGTGAGTTGGCATCACTGTACTCACAGATCGGGGGTCCGTGTTACGTCTTTTACCGTGGGAATAACACATATTTCCATATCAGTTTTTGAGTAAGTCCAGTTCCATTGTCCCTGTAGTTCTGGAACAGTCTCAGTGAAGTGTCGCAGATGAAACGTTATTGTAATAGATCCATGAAATGAACAGATGAAAAAAGTCGAGCCGTTTTCTTCCTCTTAGGGCCAAATAGTGCGTCATATTTACACCCAAAACACATTTTATCCAAGTTGACGTGATCCTAACACTTTTAGTCGCTGACAAAAGCAGAAAAACAGTAACTCATGTGGTGTCCGAGGGACCAAACCACACACGCCGGACTCGGGAACTGGCTGCGCGCTCTGATTCGCTGTTTTGATCTGTCAATCACCTCCCGTCGGCTTTCACTATACTTTTTTTTATTTATTATTTTTGACAACAAACAGCATACTTATTGTGTATTGTTTACCCCGTTTTGACAAAAGTATTTAACAAAAATTTTAAATACAAAGCAAACGGGCTTGTGCGTGTCATATTGGTCATCAGTGGTAATCGTCACTGAAGTGGACTCGAGCGTTTCTGTGCCTTTCGAGGCTGAAGGAGACCGATCGCTCTCTAACTAAAGATTGACAGAATCAATGAAAAAACTAGTGTATGAGGCCAAATAGCACTGTCATCATGTTTAAAGCAGAGAAAAATCATAAAGCGTAATATGGGCCCTTTAAGGATGTCACACTCAATGAAATAATAGGTCCTAAGGGACGGGATAGAGTCCTGAGGGAGGGGGGAGAGTCCTGAGGGAGGGTCGAGAGGGAGCGGTCTCACCTTGAACAGACCCGAGTCATCTGTGTGAGTGCAGCGTCGGGAAGGAAACTGCAACAGAGGGAGGAGCTTATGAGGCAGAGGGTGGAGCTCATGGGACAGAGGGAGGAGCTTATAAGACAGAGGGAGGAGCTTATGAGGCAGAGGGTGGAGCTCATGGGACAGAGGGAGGAGCTTATAAGACAGAGGGAGGAGCTTATGAGGCAGAGGGTGGAGCTCATGAGACAGAGGGAGGAGCTCATGAGACAGAGGGAGGAGCTCATGAGACAGAGGGTGGAGCTCATGAGACAGAGGGTGGAGCTTATGAGGCAGAGGGTGGAGCTTATGAGGCAGAGGGTGGAGCTCATGGGACAGAGGGAGGAGCTTATAAGACAGAGGGAGGAGCTTATGAGGCAGAGGGTGGAGCTCATGGGACAGAGGGAGGAGCTTATGAGGCAGAGGGTGGAGCTCATGGGACAGAGGGTGGAGCTCATGGGACAGAGGGAGGAGCTCATGGGACAGAGGGAGGAGCTCATGGGACAGAGGGAGGAGCTCATGGGACAGAGGGAGGAGCTCATGGGACAGAGGGAGGAGCTCATGGGACAGAGGGAGGAGCTCATGGGACAGAGGGAGGAGCTCATGGGACAGAGGGAGGAGCTCATGGGACAGAGGGAGGAGCTCATGGGACAGAGGGAGGAGCTCATGGGACAGAGGGAGGAGCTCATGGGACAGAGGGAGGAGCTCATGGGACAGAGGGAGGAGCTCATGGGACAGAGGGAGGAGCTCATGGGACAGAGGGAGGAGCTCATGGGACAGAGGGAGGAGCTCATGGGACAGAGGGAGGAGCTCATGGGACAGAGGGAGGAGCTCATGGGACAGAGGGAGGAGCTCATGGGACAGAGGGAGGAGCTCATGGGACAGAGGGAGGAGCTCATGGGACAGAGGGAGGAGCTCATGGGACAGAGGGAGGAGCTCATGGGACAGAGGGAGGAGCTCATGGGACAGAGGGAGGAGCTCATGAGGCAGAGGGTGGAGCTCATGAGACAGAGGGAGGAGCTCATGAGACAGAGGGAGGAGCTCATGAGACAGAGGGAGGAGCTCATGAGACAGAGGGAGGAGCTCATGAGACAGAGGGAGGAGCTCATGAGACAGAGGGAGGAGCTCATGAGACAGAGGGAGGAGCTCATGAGACAGAGGGAGGAGCTCATGAGACAGAGGGAGGAGCTCATGAGACAGAGGGTGGAGCTCATGAGACAGAGGGTGGAGCTCATGAGACAGAGGGAGGAGCTCATGAGACAGAGGGAGGAGCTCATGAGACAGAGGGAGGAGCTCATGAGACAGAGGGTGGAGCTCATGAGACAGAGGGTGGAGCTTATGAGACAGAGGGTGGAGCTCATGGGACAGAGGGAGGAGCTTATAAGACAGAGGGAGGAGCTTATGAGGCAGAGGGTGGAGCTCATGAGACAGAGGGAGGAGCTCATGAGACAGAGGGAGGAGCTCATGAGACAGAGGGTGGAGCTTATGAGACAGAGGGTGGAGCTTATGGGACAGAGGGAGGAGCTACACACCTCACTCTCAGGACTGCCCTTTGGACTCTGAGCTTTGAGCTGAAAAAGGAAAAAGACCACATGTGAGTGTGTTACCTTTGTGTAGCTGTGTGTATTTGTGTGTGTTACCTTAGTGTAGCTGATGTTGTGCGTCTTTGTGTTTCTGTGTCGTTCTTCATCATATTTCAGAGCAGCGAGTTGAGCTTCTCTCCTCATCCTCTCCACCCCCCCAGGACCAGGACCGGGACTGGAACCAGGACCAGACCTCTGGAACGTTGAACGATGGGTTTGAGTCCTTGTTGGATGTAACCTGTTCATTGCTATTCACCCACTGGGTTAACCCAAACAGTGGATGTTTCATGGTGTGATGATGGGACCTGAACCAACAACGGTGGACTGTCTGCAGCCTCAGCCCTGGGTCTGCAGCCTCAGCCCTGGGTCTGCAGCCTCAGCCCTGGGTCTGCAGCCTCAGCCCTGGGTCTGCAGCCTCAGCCCTGGGTCTGCAGCCTCAGCCCTGGGTCTGCAGCCTCAGCCCTGGGTCTGCAGCCTCAGCCCTGGGTCTGCAGCCTCAGCCCTGGGTCTGCAGCCTCAGCCCTGGGTCTGCAGCCTCAGCCCTGGGTCTGCAGCCTCAGCCCTGGGTCTGCAGCCTCAGCCCTGGGTCTGCAGCCTCAGCCCTGGGTCTGCAGCATCAGCCCTGGGTCTGCAGCATCAGCCCTGGGTCTGCAGCATCAGCCCTGGGTCTGCAGCCTCAGCCCTGGGTCTGCAGCATCAGCCCTGGGTCTACAGCATCAGCCCTGGGTCTACAGCATCAGCCCTGGGTCTACAGCATCAGCCCTGGGTCTACAGCATCAGCCCTGGGTCTACAGCATCAGCCCTGGATCTACAGCCTTTTCTGATCTGTGTTGGCAAAACAACAACATTGTAAAGTCCTCAGAGAACACAACTGTTGTGGTTTAGGACGATACAAAACTTGTGAACATTTGAGCTTTAGTTCACAAACACACAATCCCTGGTGGAAATATAACCCCCTGGGACAGGATTAGTGCAGCCAGTGAGTGTGTTACCTGTGTGTGAGGGACAGGGGGCGCTGGGACTCCATCCACCACACTGCTGCACACAGACAGGCCATCAGTACACAGTACACAGACACAGACACAGACACAAAATTACCGGTGTAAACGTCTTTCGTCTGTGCGGCTCATCTTCACTGGAGAACCCTGAAACATGAATATAAAAAGTATCAGCAGTAGTAGTAGCAGCAGTAGTACTAGTACTAGTATCAGTAGTACTAGTAGGAGTGGTAGCAGCCGCAGCGGTAGTACTAGTAGCAGTAGTACAAGTAGCAGCCGCAGCGGTAGTACTAGTAGCAGTAGTACAAGTAGCAATAGTAGCAGTAGCAGCCGCAGTAGTAGCAGTAGCCGTAGCAGTAGTAGTAGCAGTAGTACTTGTACCTCTGTGACCCTCTTCTCGATGTAGGCCATAAACTGTGAGCTCAGACTTTGTCGTCGTCCTTCGTCATCTTCCTCAGTCTGCTCCGACTCAGAATCTGCTTCAGAGAACACCCAGATTCAGCTTTAGAGACCACCCAGAGACAGCTTTAGAGACCACCCAGAGTCAGCTTTAGAGACCGCCCAGAGTCAGCTTTAGAGACCGCCCAGAGTCAGCTTTAGAGACCGCCCAGAGTCAGTTTTAGAGACAACCTTGAGACAGCTTTAGAGACCGCCCAGAGTCAGCTTTAGAGACCACCCAGAGACAGCTTTAGAAACCGCCCAGAGTCAGCTTTAGAGACCACCCAGAGACAGCTTTAGAGACCACCCAGAGACAGCTTTAGAAACCACCCAGAGGACAGTACTCACAGGGGGCACCATTGTGCAGAACTCTGTGTCTGTTCAGCTCTGAGACTTTAGATGACAGCTCCTCCTCTGAAGGCTACACACAAGTACACACCAGTTACACACAGGTACACACCAGTTACACACAGTAGGACATGTTATTACACATTAGACAGACACAGGGAGAACATGTAAACTCCACACAGAAAGGTCTAGAGGTGGAATCACATCAGGACAAGTGCTAACCACTCAGCCACAAGTCATACAGGGGTCACACAGAGGGGTCAGAGTTCACTCACCTCGTTCCCAGACCAGCGCTTGTCTCCACTGTCCACACTGTTGAAGCCTGAGTCCAGAGCTCCGTATCCTCCTCCAGAGAAGGCCTCATCACTGCAACACAACACACTGTCACACAACACTGCAACACAAAACACAACGTAACACACAACACTGCAAAACAACACAACACTATAAAAAGAAACACACACACACGTGGTGACGGCCTGTTATTGTGTAGTATTAGTAGTAAGTGTTGAACAGTATATGTACTTTTATCAATAGTTGTAGTTGCAGTACTTTCAGTAGTTGCAGTACTTGTAGTAGCAGTAGTTGTAGTGCAGTAGTTGCAGTACTTGTAGTACTAGTAGCAGCAGTAGATGCAGTACTTGTAGTACTTGCATTACTTGTAGTAGTAGTAGTGGAAATAGTAGTATCGCAATAGTACCTGTAGGGGGGGCGTCTCTCATACTCTGTTTCTGTCGTTGACTTTGATGCTTCCAGATTCAGGAATTTAAAGATGTGGACTTTACCCTTCATACAAATCTGTAACACACACACACACAGTCAACAGATTCACAGGTCAACACACACACACACATACATACCTGGGCTGGGGGGGTCTGTAGGGGGTTGTTGTCCAGGACAATGCTTTGAAGCTGCGTCAGACGCCGATAACACACTGGAATCTGAGTCACTTTATTACAGGAGAAATCCAGACGAACCAACGGGAGGTCTGAGAGCTCTGAGGAGGAGAGAGGAGGTAAGGCGGGGGAGAGAGGGGGTCTGAGAGCTCTGAGGAGAAAAGAGGAGATGAGGAGGAGGGAGGACGTGAAAGGAGGAGGTCTGAGAGCTCTGAGGAGAGGGGAAGAAGTCTAAGATAGGAGGTTAGCATTGAGCTAGTGGGTTGTCCATCAGTATCCAGTGGATGAGCACAGACCTGGGGGCAGCTGTAACAGGTGGTTCCTCCTGATGTTCAGGTCTCGTAGCGCCTCGAGCTGGCCGACCTGAGGCGGCAACATCTGGATCTCATTACAGCTCACATCCTGAAACAAACGCAGCCTCAGTCCTGGATCTATAGTGTCCTTATATATGAACCATAGATAATAAATATTAACGGACGTAGTCACGCCTATCTCCGCCGTTCTAACTAATGTGCAACAACTTCCAGGGTCTATGGGCAGTTTCGAAATGGCCATGGGGGCTGAAAAATGTGAAAAAACGCATCTGCACATGCGTCAGCCGGCACGGGCCCCATTCATTTAACGAGTGACTTCAAAATTTCACAGCGACTAAACTAGACTGGTCCAAAAAAATTCACCCCTCTCAGCATTGACACACATGTGGAATGGAGCTTTGGGCCAAGAGCCGACTTTTGGACCATCCTGTAAAGGTATTTTCGAGAGGTCAGCTAATGCTATATGTTAGCATTGAATAATTCTTATTCTGGGTCCACCCCCATCAGCCTGGGGTTGTATTGCAGCATGTCAGTGCACGTCATTTTGACCAATTTTGAGCCGGGATCCGCCCTTATATGAGACTCGTGTGTGTCTGTGTTTCTCCATCTGTGTCTCTTTAACTTAAGCCTGGTTCACATGAGTCGATTTTAAAATTGTCGGCTGATTTTTTCTCTGTGTGAGACCTCACACACGGAGATAAAAAATCATGGGTCTCACCACTTTGGTCGTACAGTGGTTAGACCCATGCACTCCCAGATCAGACGGAAATCTCACAAAATCTCTTGAGATCAAGCGTGACTTCAGAGTAAACAATCATGGCGGACGAAGAGGATGCAGTGGCGATAGTTTGTTTTTAGCAGAGAACAGACGTAATCAAAAGAAAAGGCGATGGTCAAAGAAGTGTAGACAACACGAGCATGGACTAAACTCGCTACATCGTGATATGGAGGAGAGTTGTTTTTTTACGTTTCCTCGCCGCCTCGTCTCGTCTTCTGATTGGCTACACGCCGCAGTCATGGCAACGCGCTCGTCTGTCCCCGGGGGACACCACACACGAGGAGAAATCGGGCCAAAACAATCTAACAGGTTGGATATCCCAGATATTGAGATCGAAGCAGTCCCGAAGTCTTTCCGAGCAACGAGCGCAGTCTTAAGACAACACACACGGCAGGAAAATCCATCAGATTTATTGTTACAATATTCGGAGCGTTCTTACGATTGTCGTAGGGGTAAATCGGGTCCAAATCAGCCTAATTATCCTGCTGTGTGAACCAGGCTTAACCAGTTCCTTGTACCTCTCTATGTCTCTGTGTTTCTCTATGATACTAACCAGCTCTGTGAGGAGGCGCAGCTGCCCCAGCTCCTCAGGCAGAGACACCAGTTTATTGTTGCAGGCGATGAGCACCTTCAGCGGCAGAGAGCAGACCACAGGGGGCAGCACTGAGAGCTGGTTCCGGCTGCAAGAAGAGCTGACTCTATTAGAGCTGCCTCACACATTAGAGCTGCCTCACACATTAGAGCTCCCTCACACATTAGAGCTGACTCTATTAGGGCTGCCTCACACATTAGAGCTGACTATTAGAGCTGCCTCACACATTAGAGCTGACTATTAGAGCTCCCTCACACATTAGGGCTGCCTCACACATTAGAGCTGTCTCTATTAGAGCTTCCTCACTAGAGCTGCCTCGCACATTAGATCTGACTATTAGAGCTGCCTCACACATTAGAGCTGCCTCACACATTAGAGCTGCCTCACACATTAGAGCTGCCTCAGGTACCTGATGTTGAGCCAGGTGAGCGCCTGCAGGTTGATGAGACTCTCTGGTAAAGACCTCAGACAGTTCTGGTACAGGTTCAAAGACTCCAGAGACACCAGGACACACAGCTCTACAGGGAACTCAGGGAGACGGTTCCTCGAGAGATCTGTGAGAGAGGAACCAGAGGGGTGAGGACCAGCAAGAGACCAGAGAGAGAGGAACCAGAGAAAGACCAGAGAGAGAGACTCTGTGTGACTGACTCAATAATAACAAACACAAACAGACCCAAACAGGGAACCGGAAGCTGGCGTGACGTCACTTCCAACGGGATAATATAGAACTGGAATTTCCACTCCTTAAAATGTTTAAATAAAAGTATAAAAACACGAGGGCAGAGTGAGGAGAGTATGCTGCTCAGAACAATGCACTTCACCAGCACTTTAAAGCCACTATCATCACTTTAAACACTCTTTAAACTGTCTTCAAAACACTCGGAGCGGGGATGCTAACTTTGACGCAACAGTTGAAGTTGGATCCAAACTTGTCCGAAGTGTCTCAGACTTCCAGACAAGACCCCGAGTGTTTCCTCACCCTGTACCGGACCATGTAGCATTATACCCGGCCAGCAGAAGAACTTACCGGCCCCGGTGGTGTCCGACAGGTCGTGGTTCGATGCTGCGGGGGGGAACTCCTTCATCTTCCGGCCACTGAGGTTCAGACAGCCGCTGACAGAAGCCTCCTCCAGAGCCCGGTCCAGAGAGCGGATCCAGGGGGCAGCCAGGCCCGTGAGAGCCGTGTGAGAGTGGAGGTGTCCAGGCAGAGTTACGGAGCCTCCCGGGCTTCTTGCGGAGCATCCAGAAGCCGCCACACTGTTGCTGTCTGCCGCAGAGCCGTGGAGCGCAGAGGCCGCCATCACGCCTTAGCATCGTTAGCTCCCGGGCTAATAGCTAGCGCACACCCAGGCCCACAGGGCGCATGCGCACACACAAACCCAAACAATGGACTTTAGTTCAAATATTTACATATTTACTGTTTTTCACTCATATTTATTGTTAATTACAGTAAATTACAGTTTATTACAGTTTATTATAGTTTACTTACTGTTTATAAAATGGTGCATTGGTTAGCGCTTGTGCTTCACAGCAAGAAGGTCCTGGGTTGAATTCCACCTCTGTCTTTCTGTGTGGAGTTTGCATGTTCTCCCTCTGTCTACTCCGGTTTCCTCAGGTTGCTCCGGTTTCTCCTGCCAATCTCTGTGCATAGTGAGAGACAAATGCCCACAACAATTGTAAAGCACTTTGTGACTCTGGTCTGTGAATGGCGCTATATAAATAAAAATAACATTACAGGTTATTCAAAATAAAACAACACTCCCATAAAGTATTCCATACTTTGGATGGAATACTATATATATTAATATATTTCTTTTATAAATTATTGACTATATTTGACTATACGAATGACTATTGAGACTCTCTATGAGAAAGTGATTTATTTTTTTAAACTTGTGTTGGACGCAGCTTTTACAGACCCCAGCTTTAAAGTAACGTGTCCCGGCTTTAATGTCACGTACCCCAGCTTTAAAGTCACAGACCCAAGTCACGGACACCAGTACCACACTTTGAAACACACTGTGTTTCTTGATGTATAGTTTTATTGTTTTTTTATAATAGGTAAGTTTCAGGACTACATTCCCCATGAGCCTCCGCGCCTGTCAGATCGGCACATGCGCAGACACTCGCCGGGGGCATCATGGCGTCGTACGTGGAGATCCTGAAGCGCGAGTTCCCACAGATCGACACCGAGCTGTTCGACTACATCACAGGTAACAATTACCCATCCTCTCGCGCCGTCCCGGGAGAGGAGGTCATGGACCCGGGTGTAGAGCTGTCAGGCACCGGGGAGCTGCGGGACACGCCCGGAGCACCGGAGCTAATAGGCTAATGCTATCGGACCGGCTGTCCTAACGCGTGGTCCCAAATACATGCATTTTTGTTTCGCCCCAAACTACTGCAGTATTGTTCTGTGGAGGACGCACACTGTCCTCTGTCGTACAGCAGAGGACAGAGACAGAGGCAGATCAGAGTTCGGGGGTAGTTCAGTTTTTCAGCAGAAGAAAACGTCCTGATGTCTCGGATTATTATTCCACAGAGATGCTTAAAGTGTCCGTGTTACCGGTTTTACCGGTCCACGTCCTGTGTATGTTTAGAATACTGAGAAAATAGTGTTTCCATAATGAGAGCGAGACCAAAGAGGTAGACTGTGCTCTGGTCCTGGTCTCTACAGGTTCTAACTTCCTGGTGTGTCCCTCAGTCCTGGTCCTTACATCCTGGTGTGTCCCTCAGGAGTCCTAGATTCTGGAGGAGAAGACTTCACAGATGCAGAGGAGGTGTTTGAGGCAGTGGGAGGGTTCCTGCAGGAGGTGTCTGCGGACGTGAAGAACGAGGAGGAGATCAGAGACCTGTGCGTGCAGATGTTCAACTGCCTCAAACTGTGAGTCTGGACTTTAGAGACCAAGTCTGGACCTGCTCTAGATCTCATCTTTGTTTTTCTCCAGAGACAATGGTGATGGTCCTCAGCAGCAGGTTCTGTTAGACGCCCCAGTCCAGCTGTCCCAGATCAGCCACGCAAGTGAGTCTTTCTTTAGTCCCGCTTCAGACCCGCTTTAGACCTGATTTAGTCTGGTTTAACTCTTTTCTCTCTAGCAGCTGAGATCAAAGACGTCCAGGGCATCTGGATGATCAAGAGGCCTCAGAACACGGTGAGTCCTGATGGATCATGTCTTAGCAGTCACAGGGTCAGAGATCAGAGTTAATCACTGTGTTTTTCAGACGGTCAACGCAAAGAAATTGGAAAAAGCTGAAGCAAAACTCAAAGCAAAACACGAGCGCCGCAACGAGAAGGACCAGAAACCGAGTGCTCCTGTGTGAGTGAAGCCCTTGTGTGTGAGACTGAGGCCCCTGTGCGTGTGAGACTGAGGCCCCTGTGCGTGTGAGACTGAGGCCCCTGTGCGTGTGAGACTGAGGCCCCTGTGTGAGCCCTAACCTCTCACGCTCCTCCTCCCTCTTCCTCCTGGCTCCTCCCTCTCCTCCTCCTTCTGACCTCCTCCGTCTCCCCTCAGGGTCCTGGAGGAGGCGTCAGCAAGTCAGTCCTGCAGTAAGAAGGAGAACAGAGTGGATCAGAGCGGGAAGAACAGGAGCTACGACATCCGCATCGACAACTTTGATGTGTCCTTTGGAGAGCGGTGAGACATTACCCCTGCTCCTCCTGTAATCCTAACGGCTCCTCCTCTCCTCACTGCTCCTCTTCTCCTTCTCCTCTCTCCTTCTCAGGCCCTACCCCCCTAACTTCTTCTTCTCCTCTTCACTACTCCTCTGCTCCTCCTCAGGGTCCTCCTCTCCTCACTGTTCCTCTCTCCTTACTGCTCCTCACAGCTCCTCCTCTTCTCAGCGTCCTCCTTTCCTCCTCAGGGTCCTCCTCCTCTCCTCACTACTCCTCTCTCCTCCTCAGGGTCCTCCTCCAGGCTGCAGACCTCTCACTCTCTTTTGGGAGGAGGTACGGTCTCATAGGGAGAAATGGTTTGGGGAAGACCACGCTGCTGAAGATGCTGTCGAGTCGCAGCCTCCGTGTCCCTCCTCATATCTCCATCCTCCACGTGGAGCAGGAGGTGGAAGGAGACCACACCAGAGCTCTGGACAGTGTCCTACAAAGCGACACTGCCCGAGAGAACCTCCTGCAGGAGGAGAAGGAGCTCAACCGACGAATCAATAGTGGCACGTGAGTGTTAGCACCACCAGGAGGTGCTGTAGACAGACCAGAGGAGGTGCTATATAGACGCAGACCAGAGGAGGAGTCGTAACAGTCTTTTGTGTTCAGGGCTGATGGGACGGAGAGCGTGCGACTCTCTGAGGTTTACGCCAAATTGGAAGAGATCGAGGCCGACAAGGCTCCAGCTCGGTAACGCTAACACGCTAACTCTATGCTAATAAGGTTTCACTTACACGCTCCAGCGTCACAGCTAACCCGGTGCTAACGTGTGTGTCCTCAGGGCCTCTGTGATCCTGGCCGGTCTGGGATTCTCCCCAAAAATGCAGCAGCAGACAACCAAGTACAGTACCACCTCACAGAAAAGCTCTTTAGAACCGTTTAGAGCAGACGGAAGAGCTCTGACATGTGGTGTGTTCTCAGGGAGTTCTCTGGAGGCTGGAGGATGAGGTTGGCTTTGGCCAGAGCGCTCTTTGCTCGGTAAGACCTGTGTGTGTGCCAGTGTGTGTGTGTGTTTATTATAAATGTGTCTCTTGTGTGTTTCAGGCCGGACCTGCTACTGCTAGACGGTGAGTCACATGTCTGGGTCACATGGACACATGTCTGGGTCACATGTCTGGGTCACATGTCTGGGTCACATGCGTGGGTCACATGCGTGGGTCACATGCGTGGGTCACATGCGTGGGTCACATGCGTGGGACACATGCGTGGGTCACATGCGTGGGTCACATGCGTGGGTCACATGCGTGGGTCACATTCGTGGGTCACATGCGTGGGTCACATGCGTGGGTCACATGCGTGGGTCACATGCGTGGGACACATGCGTGGGTCACATGCGTGGGTCACATGCGTGGGTCACATGCGTGGGTCACATGCGTGGGTCACATGCGTGGGTCACATGCGTGGGTCACATGCGTGGGTCACATGTTTCTGTCTGTGTGCAGAGCCCACAAACATGTTGGATGTCAGAGCGATTCTGTGGCTGGAGGATTATCTACAGGTCTGTATTATTATTATTATTACACTGTATATCAGACCAAGTCAAAGAATCTAGATATCAAGAGATTTAACTATTGCAGTTTCAACAACAGGGCGCTTTCACCATTTTAAACAGACGTTACCATAGCGACAAACATAATATATAATAAAACTGCTCCGCGTGCGGTATACTATTAACCCTTTAAGCGCCAAAGTCGCAATATTGCGACAAGCAACATTGCTCACTTAAACCGGCTGTATGTAAAAATGTGGTGCAGAATCTTGTTAATACTTTTCACCAGGGGTTAGTGGACATGTGTGCCTGTAATATGAGCAGCATTTGTGGGTGTGGTTATATTGAAAGTTTTTGAGTAAATTGAGTTCGTAAAACACCTGCGGCGCAGCAGCGCGGAGGCGAAGCAGCAGCGGTAGAGCTGAGAGGAGCGAGAGCAGAGCAGAGGGAGAGAGTGTTTTTTATTTTACTCACGAGGTCTTCAGTACCAGAGAAGTACTTGGTCTGGTACTGGCTCACTCAGATTCAGAGGAGGAAGACACACAGGTGTCCAGTGAAGCAGACACGGACATTATTAGTGACGGGGAGACCGCGCGCCATATAGTCCACAATCAGCCTCTGTACAGCGGCTGCTTGTCCTCCGTGTGGCCGCGGTAGAAGCATTCTGTGAACGCCAAGCAGGGGCTGTGGTCGAGGCGAGGGTACAGGGGCATCATAACACCGGGCATGTGGGGGTAAACATCCACGGGGAACACGGGAGACGCGGGAGAGCCGCGGGAATAAAACACATCGCTTTTCGCGTTCACTGCCTTTACCAACAGTGATGATGAGGATCAAGGCAGTTCTTGAGAGAAAATAATCCACAAAAGTGGATCAGAAGTGTTGAAGAGCCTGTTGTTTCTTGTTGAGACGATCTGACATGTTCTGAGCCCATTCATTTCATCTCTCTGTTTCTAAACCATAAATCCAGGAGCCTCATTTCCACCGAGAAAAATAGTATGCCCACCACTTCTTTGAAAGGGAAATATTGAAACCAAACTCCAGATTTCATGACTGTAAACTATAAAGAGAGCTGTCTTGATCACTGAAGGTCTATGAAAATAATACAATTCTGTATGGCCGCGAACCAGTGCTAAAACATTATCTATAATCTGGATCAGGGAATTTATTTCTATCCCAAATTCATTTCATACTAAAGATATTTCACACTGACTGTTTATAGTATTTCCTGATCTAAAAAAAACTCCCAAGCTACAGCTTTTAAGTTTTTATACAATAATTAACATTTTCCAAAATGGCCGCCACCTTGATGACGTCACAATATGCAAATTAGATGACGAATCAACTTCCATCCCAAAGTTTGGTTCAAACTGAAGATATTTCTAATTTACAGTATGCCTTTATCTCAAATCATTTTAAAGTTATAGCCTTTTGAAATCTTGAAATCAAAATTGTATATTTTCTTGAAAAAACTCTGGCGCCTAAAGGGTTAAAGTGAACATACTTTAAAGCCATGTGTGTACTATAACTGGCTCCTTTAAGATCGATCCACAGTCTGGAACACAACAGTTTGTTAAAGCTTCTTCAGACTAAACTAAATTTTATTCTGTGTGTTTGTGTGACCAAAAGGTTAATTGGTTTATGTGGAAACAAATGTGTCGCTCCTGTATTCATGACAGTTGTGTTGCTGTATTCTATGGCAGTTGCGTTGCTCCTGTATTCTATGACAGTTCTCTCTTTAGACCTGGGTGTCCACCATCTTGGTAGTGTCACATGACCGTAACTTCCTCAACGCTGTGGTGACGGACATCATCCACCTCCACACGCAGCGACTGGACAGTTACCGCGGTGACTACGAGAACTTTGTCAAAACCAAAGAAGACCGACTGAAGAACCAGCAGAGAGAGTATGAGGCTCAGCTCCAGTACAGACAACACATACAGGTGAGTCAGGACCCAGGACCAGAGTCCGGACCTAACCCTAACCTAATCTGAGACTGAAGAACTAGGTCTGAGGTGGCTGTGTTTCAGGTTTTCATCGACCGATTTCGGTACAACGCCAACAGAGCAGCACAAGTGCAGAGCAAACTGAAGCTGTTGGAGAAACTGTGAGTGTGTGTCTGTGTATCTCTGTTTCTGTGTGTGCGTCTCTGTGTGCCTGTTAATTACGCTGCACACTATATCAAAAAAATATTGTCATTGCAATATTTTTATGTGCAATATCCATTAATCTAAAAACATCTAAATTGCAGCATTACACTGGCAAAAAGGGTTCGGCAAAGGGGTTCGACCTCCGGTATCTTTAGTCTTAAAGACTATTTTGTCTTAAAACAGAAAGCAAAATTGTTTCAAAATGATTGCCACTTTGCGTTAGAAATACAAATATTAATGTATAGTGGAAATAAATAAAATATTAAATTCTTGAGTAATATTTTTTGTTTGCAGAATTATGGAATTGGCAACTTTAGGCAAGATTTGAGGTTAATATATGTGCCATATGCATTTGAAACTCGTGCGTGCGCGTACACGGAAATGTGGATAATCAGAGAAAGAGAATACATGCAAAAAGTCCCCAAACTAAACTGGGACTTTATAGTTTGAGTTAAAGCATGCCACCAAAGAAAATTACTCCGACATTGGAGGACTTCGAGGATATCAGAGCCTCCCTCGAGTCCGTACGCGGGGACCTGACTGCCATCAGAGCGCAGCAAGCACAGCTCCTTGGGCAACAGGAGCAGCTACTTGGGCTTCTGGAGGAGGTGAGACAACTGCGTCTCCAGAATGCTGAAAAGGACCGCCGTATCGCGGATCTCGAGCGGCGGGTTGACGACCTAGAGCAGTATTCCCGCATGAATGATGTGGTCATCACCGGCATTAAGATCAGACCGCGCTCCTATGCGCGTGCGGTGGCCGCGGACAGCGGGGATCCCAGCGAGCTGGAGGCGCAATCGGTGGAGCAACAGGTGGCATCCTACTTCCAGAGTAAGGGGATTGAGGTAGACCTGCAGCACATCGAGGCCTGTCACCCGCTGCCCACGAGGAACGAGAGACCGCCAGCCATCATCATGAGGTTTGCCAATAGAAAAAACAAAGTGGCACTTCTGAGGCAAGGAAGACAACTCAAAGGCACCAGAGTTTTCATAAATGAACACCTGACAAAGCGGAATTCGGACATTGCATGGAAAGCCAGACAACTCAAACGACAAGGCAAGATCCAACACACGTGGGTAACAAACTGTAAAATATTCATCAAACTCAATGGGACTCCAGAGGCTGCCAAAGTGTTGGTGGTGAAGAAAATGGAAAATTTGGACATATATTAAAGGTATGAGACTCTCTTCATCATGAACAATACACCACAGAGTATGCCAAGTAATGAAATGGACATGTTAACATCAATTCTCCAGCGTAAACAAATGGAACTGGAAATGTGTGAATATCATGAGCACAGTATAACGGACTTGAATGCAGACATTGACCCTGATAATAATTTCTTCTCTGCTATTGTAAACTGTTGCAAATATTTTACTCATGATAAATATATAAAAGATGTAGATTCACATGGGAAATTTCAATTATACATTTTAATAGCAGAAGTATGTACACAAATTTTGAGTCTATCAAGGAGTACTTGCAATACTTTTCTCAGCCATTTAGTATCATTGCACTAACTGAAACGTGGTTCAATATGCGAAAAGGTATAGATTTCTGTCTTGAAGGCTATGAACTAAAATATATGAATAGAGAAAATAAATCAGGCGGTGGAGTAGCCTTATACGTACACAAATCCCTCAAATATAATATCAGAATCAGAATCAGAATCATTTTTATTGCCAACGTAAGTAACGGGAGGTCACAGACTTGGAAATTGCTTTGGCTCAGTGCAACAGTCAAAAAGAGATAATAAAAATAAGAATAAAAAACACTTCTAAAGAATAAATTTAAATTTAAAATAGAGTTACAGTTACTATTTACAATATACAAGTGCACATGGTGCACACAATGTAAGGTGACAGCAGTACAGTGAAGTAAAGTGACGTATGATGGGCAGTAAAGTGACTTTATAAAGGGCGGGGGGACAGGTTAAGAAGTGTTCAAGAGTCCAACAGCAGAGGGGAAGAAACTGTTCTTGTGGCGGGAGGTTCTAGTCCTGATGGACCGCAGCCTCCTGCCTGAGGGGAGTGGTTGGAATAGTCCATGTGCAGGGTGAGAGGGGTCGGCTGTGATACGACCAGCCCGGCCTCGAGCTCGGGCGACGTACAGGTCCTGCAGCGATGGAAGGCTGCGGCCGATCACTTCCTCTGCAGAGCGCACAATGCGCTGTAGTCTCTGTTTGTCCCTGACTGTGGCTCCAGCGAACCACACGGTGATGGAGGAGGTGAGGATGGACTCGATGATGGCCGTGTAGAACTGCACCAACATCTGTGCAGGCAGCTTGGCTTTCCTGAGCTGCCGCAGGAAGTACATCCTCTGCTGGGCCTTCTTGATGAGGGAGCTGATGGTCGGCTCCCACTTGAGGTCCTGGGTGATGGTGGTGCCCAGGAAACGGAAGGACTCCACAGAGGTGATGGGGGAGTCCATCACGGAGGGTGGGGGCGGGGGGACAGTGCTCTTCCTGAGGTCCACAATCATCTCCACTGTCTTCTGGGCGTTCAGCTCCAGGTTGTTACCACTGCACCAGGACACCAGCCGGTCCACCTCCCTCCTGTAGGCGGACTCATCGTTGTTGGAGATGAGTCCAATGAGGGTGGTGTCGTCCGCGAACTTGATCAGCTTCACGGAGTCGTGGCTGGAGGTGCAGTGGTTGGTGTACAGGGAGAAGAGCAGGGGAGAAAGAACACAGCCCTGTGGGGCTCCTGTATTTATAATCCGAGAGTCCGAGACATTCTTCCCCAGACGCACTCGCTGCTTCCTGTCCGACAGGAAGTCAGTGATCCACCTGCAGGTGGAATCGGGCACGTTGAGCTGGGAGAGCTTGTCCTGGAGCAGGGATGGCAGGATTGTGTTGAAGGCAGAGCTGAAGTCCACGAACAGGACCCTGGCGTAGGTCCCCGGGGAGTCCAGGTGCTGTAGGATGTGGTGGAGGGCCAGGTTAATGGCGTCGTCTACAGATCTGTTGGCTCTGTAGGCGAACTGCAGGGGGTCCAGGAGGGGGGAGGTGAGGGACTTGAGATGGGAGAGAACCAGGCGTTCAAATGACTTCATGACGACAGACGTAAGTGCTACAGGTCTGTAGTCATTGAGTCCTGTGATCCTGGGCTTCTTCGGGACGGGGACAATGATGGAGGATTTGAAGCAGGCCGGGACATGGCAGGACTGCTGTCTGTGGCAGCTCTGAAAAGGTCCCAGTCTGTGGATTCCATGCATGCGCGCAGCTCTTCCACAGCTTCATCAGACCACACTTTGGAGCTCCTCACTGCAGGTTTCGAGAGCTTTAGTCTCTGTCTGTAAGCAGGAACCAGATGTATCATGGAGTGATCTGAGAAGCCGAGGGCTGGCTTGGGAACAGCGCGAAAAGCTCCGCGCACGGTGGTGTAACAGTGATCCAGAGTGTTCTCCTCTCTGGTCGGGCATTTGATAAACTGTCTGTATTTGGGTAATTCCTGGCTCAAGTTTCCCTTATTAAAATCCCCCAGGATAATAATCAGAGAGTCCGGGTATAAGCGTTCCATACACAGTACTTGCTCTGCGAGTGCACGCTGAGCCTCGCGCGCGTCCGCGCACGGCGGTATGTAAACAGAGGCAAGAATGAATGAAACAATTTCCCGCGGGGAGTAATATGGTTTACAATGAATGAAAAGATATTCCAGAGCAGGAGAGCAGTGCTTGGAGATCACTGTCACATCGTTACACCAGTTTGTATTGACGTAGAAACACAGCCCACCGCCTCTGCTCTTCCCTGAGAGCGCACAATGGCGATCCGCGCGAAACAGCCCAATGATGGAGGATTTGAAGCAGGCCGGGACATGGCAGGACTGCAGAGAGGAGTTGAAAATGTCCGGGACATGGCAGGACTGCAGAGAGGAGTTGAAAATGGCAGGACTGCAGAGAGGAGTTGAAAATGTCCGTGAACACAGGAGTAAGCTCACTGGCGCAGTGTCTCAGAGTGGCCGGAGACACGTGGTCCGGGCCAGGAGCTTTGCGGGGGTGCAGCCTCAGGAAGAGTTGTTTAATCTCTTTAGCGGCTATTGTTAGGCTGGGGGCAGGGCTGATGGGTGGGTCGTTAGAGTAGTGGGGGGGGGGGGAGGGAGAGGTGTCAGGGGCAGCATCAAAGCGACTGAAAAATAAGTTCAGATCGTCAGCTAGCTTGTGGTCATCAGCACAGGGGGGGGCTTTGGGTTTGTAGTTGGTGATCTCCCGTAGGCCCCTCCAGACAGAAGCAGTATCGTTGTTACCAAACTGCTCCTGTAGTCGTTCTCTGTGCCGGGACTTGGCTGCTTTCAGTTCTTTCCTGAACTGATATTTAGCTGCTTTGTAGCCGCTGCGGTCCCCCTCCCTGAAAGCAGACTCCTTTGCTTTCCTGAGCTGCCGGAGTTTAGCAGTGAACCAGGGTTTGTCGTTGTTATAGATGACCCTGGTCCTTGTTGGAATGATGCTATCCTCACAGAAGTGGATGTATGACGTCACAGTGTCCGTATATTCATCCAAGCTGTCTGTGGCAGCTCTGAAAAGGTCCCAGTCTGTAGATTCCATGCATGCGCGCAGCTCTTCCACAGCTTCATCAGACCACACTTTGGAGCTCCTCACTGCAGGTTTCGAGAGCTTTAGTCTCTGTCTGTAAGCAGGAACCAGATGTATCATGGAGTGATCTGAGAAGCCGAGGGCTGGCTTGGGAACAGCGCGAAAAGCTCCGCGCACGGTGGTGTAACAGTGATCCAGAGTGTTCTCCTCTCTGGTCGGGCATTTGATAAACTGTCTGTATTTGGGTAATTCCTGGCTCAAGTTTCCCTTATTAAAATCTTCCATCCTATCTTAGGATATCCCCCAGGATAATAATCCTGGGGGATATCCTAACAAATATGACATTGGTAATTGATGGAGTAATGGAGTGTTTGACAATAGAAATACATAATGAGAGAAAGAAAAATGTTATTGTGAGTTGTGTGTCTAGAGCACCTGGTTCAAGCATCGACCTTTTCAATGAGTGGATGGAAAAAATGTTCTGAGATAAATCAAAAAAATCTTTGTTTGTGGAGATTTTAACATAGATCTATTAAATCCAACCAAACAAAAACATATTGATACAATGTATAGATTGTCTCTGTTTCCAACCATAACCAAACCTAGCAGAATAACTTCACATAGCGCTACAATTATTGATAACATCCTTACTAACATTATCGAGAGTCAAATTATCAGTGGCTTATTTATCTGTGACATTACTGACCACTTGCCTGTTTTTGCTTTGTATGACTACGATATTAAGAGAAGATTATGTAGAAATAATCTCAAAACGAATAATAAATGAAGAAACAATAAATGATCTGGGGCCGTATTCCTAAAGATTCTTACTGCTAAAAGTTGCTCCTAGTGGCCAAATTCTAAGAATTTTCTTAGAATCTTGACCAACTCTTAGAATTTCCCCTAAAAGTGAGGAGTAGCTCCTAGTTAAGATAAAAGCTATTCCTAAAAAATCCTAGCTCTTAAGAGTGCTCTTAAGGGGAGATCCCTTAAGAGTTGAGAGGAGGACTTTTAGCGACTTAAAAGTTCCCTAAGAGCACAAAATGGTGGACGGTGGAGACAGGAGAAAGATTCTATACACTGGATGACAGTGAATCAGTGAAACGCTACAGATTCAAGCAGGAATCATGTTTGTGGTATATTTAAAAGTCAATCATGTGACCAGCTTCTCATTGGCTGGTCAGCAATAACACCTCATCCATTTTACCTTTGTTACACAAAAGTAAGTATAAATGGTAAAAGTTGAAAGAGAGGAAAAAGTGGTCCTAAATTGTCACACATTCAGTACGAATGAATGAATACTTTATTTTGAGCCATGGAAAACAAGAAAAAAAAGGACAAAACAAACAACAACAACAGAATAGAAGTACAAATATACAGTTTTGTTTTATTAACAACAATCCAGCTCAAAAAGGAGTGGGAGCGGATAAGACTTTTAAGCTCCCTTGTACTTGATTTGTACAGTGTATGTATAATATGTTTATATTAATATCCATCCATCCATCCATCCATTTTCTACCCTTTAATCCATTTCTGGGTCAGGGGGGTGGCAGTCAGAGATGCCACCCAAGTCTCATAGCACCAGCCCCTCACTGACCCTCTGCAGGTGGTGAGTCCACAGGAGGACAGCTGCTCTCTGAGTGTGAGCATAGCCTTGATCTTTCAATGGGGGCTTTTGGGCAAAGTGGGGTTAAGTGTCTTGCCCAAGGACACAACGACAGCAGTCATCAGTGGGAGTCGGTGGAGAAGGTGTAGAGGTGGGAATTGAACCCACGACCTTCAGGCCTAAAGGCCAATGCTCTACCAACTGAGCTACTGTCGCATATATATATATATATATATATTAATATTGTTTCCTTAATTCCTTAAGTCTATACATATCACAGCCTTTACTAATCCTAACGTTATTATCATCATTTATCCATATAATATTTATAATAATAATTTTCTTTATCATGTATATTATATATAGAGTAATATTTAAATTATATGTGTATATATATATATATAATATATATAAATAAAATTATAAGTGCTCATGATATATACGTATTATGTGTGATAAATTGGTGCTGAGCAAGCTCTGATGATGGTGTATAAGTCTAACTTTACTATTCACAGTATTTATGCACCATTGATATATCTGACTTTATAGCTTTTGGTTATTATTTACAATAACACAGTGTTCCTAAGATTAGATTCCATGATTGAGTTTGTCCATTTTAGGGCCCTTATTTTGCCTATTATCATCAAAAATATGTTTGTTCTAACTTTTAGAACAAACCAATCACAGCGTCTGAAATGATGACTCATACCTAGCAACGGGGTCGGCCACGCCTCCTCACTAAGATAAAAGTTGTTGTCAATTCCTTGCTCAGAGTTCTCTAAGAGTGTTCTGGAATAACTTTTAAGCTAAGACTCCTAGCTAGGAGTTTTTAGGTTAAGATAAGAGCTCTCTGAGAGGACTCTCAGAATCTTTAGGAATACGGCCCCTGAACAACAGTCTAGCAGACCAGGATTGGAATACAGTTTATAACGAACAAAATGTGGATGTTGCTTATGATAACTTCCTCGACTTATTCCTCTCCTTGTACAACAAATACTGTCCTGTTCAACAACACTATTTAAAGAAAAAACACTAACAAAGCCCTTGGCTTACAAAAGGAATACTAAATGCTTGTAAAAAGAAAAATAATCTCTATAAATCGTTCATCAAAGTAAAAACAAAAGAGGCGGAACAAATATATAAGACTTACCGGAATAAATTAACTGACATCATAAGAAGTAGCAAACAGTTGTATTATAAACAAAAGATAAATGAAAATACAAACAATATAAGAGGAACTTGGGATACACTGAATAGTTTAATCAAACAAGGATCATCAAAGTCGTCATATCCTGATTACTTTACTGACAATAATGGAGACAACTACAATATGAATGATATAGTTAATCAATTTAATAATTTTTTTGTTAATGTAGGGCCTGAGTTAGCTGCTGGAATTCCAGACTAATAGAACTGAGGAATGTTTTTCAACAATCAATCAGAATCCAGTCTTTTTTTCTTATCTGCTACAGATGAGCTGGAGATAACTAGCATTGTTTCAAAATGTAAAAGCAAGACATCTACTGACTGTCATGATATCAGCATGATGGTAGTTAAGAAGGTCGTGTTCAATATTGTAAAACCACTAACTTATATCTGCAACTTATCCTTCCAGTCTGGTTGTTTTCCACAAAAAATGAAAATTGCAAAAGTGGTACCACTCTTCAAAAATAATAACAAACACAGTTACACAAACTATAGACCAATCTCTTTATTGCCTCAATTTTCAACAATTCTTAAAGCTTTTTAACTTTTGGCTTGAAAAGTTTCTTGAGAAACACCAGATAATACATGAAGGTCAATATGGTTTCAGAGCCAAAAGAACCACATCAATGGCAATAATGGAAGCAATTGAGGAAATCACAAATGCATTTGATCATAAAAAGTTTGCAGTGGGTATCTTTATAGATCTCAAAAAAGCCTTTGATACTATTAATCACTCGATTCTCTACAGAAAGATGGGGAATTATGGAATTCGTGGGGTAGCTGGGGATTGGCTGAAAAGTTACTTGACTGGAAGGATACAGTATGTTAAAATGGGGCATTACATATCTGGAGAACTTGGCATTGCTTGTGGTGTGCCCCAGGGGTCCGTGCTAGGACCCAAATTATTTAATGTGTATATAAATGACATTTTTTATGTATCTCAAGTATTAAAACTTATTCTTTTTGCAGATGACACAAATATATTTTACTGTAGCAATGATTACGATGAAATGGTGAATACTGTGAACAAGGAACTGAATATAATTAAAAAGTGGATGGACATGAACAAACTATCCCTCAGTATAGAAAAAACTAAATCAATGATGTTTGGCAGCCTAAGATTTAATTCAGACACAAAAATCTTTATTGACGGTATCGAAATTGAAAATGTGAACGAAAATAAATTCTTGGGAATTATAATCGACAATTGTCCTGGAAACCTCACGTCAGATACATAAAAACTAACATCTCAAAGCCTTTCAATTCTAAATAAAGTAAAACTGTACCTCGATCTCAATTTACTCCGTACATTATACTGCACGTTGGTTCTCCCATACTTTAACTATTGTGTTGAAGTGTGGGGAAACACGTACCAGAACACTATAAACCCATTAGTCTTGTTGCAGAAACGAGCAGTTCGTATAATTCACAAAGTTGGGTTTCTAGATCACACTCATGAATTGTTTATCCAGTCTAAGTTACTAAAATTTAATGATCTTGTAAAATACAATACAACTATAATCCTATATAAAGCTTTTAACAAATTATTACCTATTAATCTACAACACCTTTTCTCAATTCGGGAAAAAGCCCATAATCTGAGAGGATTTGGAGACTTCACACTACCTAAAATTCGAACTACTCGTAAAAGCTTTTGTGTATCTGTACGAGGTGTGAAACTATGGAACAGTCTGGATGCACACCACAAGCAATGCCAAAATATTCACAGATTCAAACTTTTATACAAACATCTGGTCTGGTCACAATATATAGAGAGTGGGTCTTAATTGTTCTGTACTTCTGTATTGTATTTGTGTCATGTATTTGTCATTCCTTACCATTGCTGGTATTGTCGCTTACCATTGCTGGTATTGTCTCTTACCATTGTTAGTCCTGTATTACTGTTGTCATATGTAACTCTGATGCGTTACTATGGTAACTCCACAATGTGAATACTCAAACCTTTCTGTGTTAATATAGTGCAGAAGTCGAAAGTTGTTGATAGCCCTGTCTCGCAAAGAAGCAAATTTTTGTTGTATACATATTATGGGGGTAGGATTAAATAAGTTTTCTTCTTCCTACTCCCTTTCAGGCAAATATTTTGGTTTATTTTTATTTTTTTCATGCATGTTAGCAATGCTTTACTTATTTTTATTTTTTGTTGGAAACTATGATGAACAAGAGGTGACTGCTGCCTCATGTGAAATGCCTGAAATGAATAAATAAACAAACAAAAACAAAGTAATTCATGTTGTGCTTGTTTTTTTTTGTTCGTTTTCTCTTGCGGTTCAATGCAGATTGCATTTTTAGGTAAAAGACAAAAATATCACAATAATATTGTTAACGAAATACTAAACACCAATATAATTGTGCAGTCCTATTTTGTGTGTGTATTGACCTCTTTCTCTCTTTGTGTGTGCTTCAGGCCTGAGCTGAAGCCGCTGGAGAAGGAGATAGAAGTTCTACTGAGGTAAAACTATAACGTGTGTGTCCATGGATCTATAATCTATGAGTGGATCGGGTATTGCTAACTTACAGCTGCCCCACCAATGGGCACAGTCTGCCCGCTGTACGGCAGAACTCAATGTAGACTAAAACAGCTGGACCTCAGCTGACAGAACCTACAGCTTTCATAAAGGAGGACTCTGTGGGGATTTTAGCGTCCCCTGTCGTCCTCAACGTTTTTTCTTGTTAAATCCATGGGTTTTCTATAAATCCACACTTTAGTGCAACAAACCCGGCTGGTTTTCCTCCCACTTTTAACTCCGCTCCGATTGGTCAGAACGCTTCCCCTCAGTGCATGAGAGACGCACATAAATATTGATTAGTATTTAACCCCCCTTCCCTCTTTCAGGTTCCCAGACCACTTTGAGAAGCTGTCTCCCCCGATCCTGCAGTTGGATGAAGTAGAGTTTTACTACAACAAAGATCAGAGACTTTTCACTGGACTGAGTCTGTGTGCGGATCTGGACTCTCGCATCTGTATGGTACTGATACACGCACACGAGAGGCGTTCAGACCGCCAACGCATAAGCGTTCACTACGTTTCAGCGTGACTTAAACGCACTGCTGCGATCAAAGAGTATGCATGTTATGTGTTATATATATTTATATATTACTGGCAGGCAGCAGGTTTACACTTGGAAAATAATTAATAGAATGTCCTTGTTAGCCTTTAAAACACAGGTACATACAACATTATAATACACACAATTGGGGCTGGGCAATTAATCGAATTTGGCAATTAATCGGCTTTTGAAAAAATCAAATTCGTGAAAATCGTGAAATCGAATGAGGGATATTGTGAGAGTTCCAGCAGCACAACAATTATACTTGCGATATCAGCACAGTCTGTACAAGACTTTTATAATATGTATTGAGGGAAACAAAAAATATTTTTGAAACCTAAATATTGAGCGGGAAGATAAATATTTTAAGGCCGAAGTCTGTCTTGAGTGACTTTAATGAAAATCGATTTAAAATCGAAATTGTCCAAAGCAGGAAATAAAATCGAGATTTTACTTTTTTGCCATATCGCCCAGCCCTACACACAATAAAGTAAATTTGTCCTCCGCAGCTGCAGCGATTCTGTCTGAGATCCTCCACAGACGTCATAACGGCAGTATCTGCGCAGACTCACCTGATGTATTCTATAATTAACCAGCTCCTCTGTATCCAACACATTGGCAGCATTTTTTCACAGCGACAGGAGCTGGAGCCATACGTTAAAACTGTCTGTCTGCCCTGCTTTAGTCCGGCTTTAGCCCTGGTTCAGTCTTGGTTCAGTCTTGGTTCAGTCTTGGTTCAGTCTTGGTTCAGTGTTGGTTCAGTGTGTCTTCAGTGTGTCTTCAGTGTGTCTTCAGTGTGTCTTCAGTGTGTCTTCAGTGTGTCTTCAGTGTGTCTTCAGTGTGTCTTCAGTGTGTCTTCAGTCTTGGTTCAGTGTGTCTTCAGTCTTCCGCGACGCACATGCGAATATTCACACAAAAGCCTGTCACAACGTGGCACATGGTCCGAACACTCTCTGACCCCTGACCCTGTGTGTTGCAGGTCGGGGAGAACGGTGCTGGGAAAACCACAGTCCTGAAGCTTCTGATGGGAGAACTCACGCCTGTGGGAGGAGTCAGACAAGTGCACAGGTGAGGAGGTGCGGGGGAGCGGAGCAAAGGGAGGGGTAGGCTGAGTGAGGAGTAGGAGGGAGAAGGGGGGGGGGGGGGGAGTAGTGATGTGTTGCCTGGAGGAGGAGGTGCAGTAGCATACTGCCTTGAGGAGGAGGGTCAGCACTAGATCATATACGGAATCGGGACGGAAGCGGAAGTAAAAATAAGAAACTACCTATTTATGCCTAAACTTAACCAGCCATTCCCATAAAATAACCCAACCCACCCTTAACCTTAACCATCTTACTCAGACGCCTAAAACTTAACCAGTCACCACTTAAGGACTTATTAATCTAAAACTAATTTGAAAGTAGGATCGTTACTTCCGGTTTCGTCCCGATTCCGTAAATGATCTAGTGCCGACCGGAGGAGGAGATGCAGTAGTGATATTTCCTGGTGGAGGTGCAGTAGTGGTATTCTGCCGGGAGAATGTGGGAGAAGGAGCATTAGTGATATATTGCCTGTGGGAGGAGGTGGGAGAAGGAGCAGTTGTTATATTGCATGGAGGAGGTGCAGTAGTGTTATATTCTTGTTACAGAAACCTAAAGATCGGATACTTCAGTCAGCACCATGTGGATCAGCTCGACCTGAACGTCTGCTCTGTGGAGCTGCTGGCCAACAAGTTCCCTGGTAAGTACTTTAGTAAATACTACTACTGCAATACTATAATACTAATACTGCAGTACTGTAATACTACTGCTACTACCAAAACTCTGCTCCTTCTCACTCTCACTCCCTCCCTCTCTCTCACCCCAGGTCGTCCAGAGGAGGAGTATCGCCACCAGCTGGGCAGATATGGTATTACAGGAGAGTTGGCGACTCGCCCTGTGGCCTCTCTATCTGGAGGACAGAAGAGCAGAGTGGCCTTCGCACAGATGACTATGCCCTGGTGAGCCTCTCCCAGTCTCCTCCTGTCCTGTCCTCTCTGTCCTCTCCTCCTGCCCTCTCTTTCCTCTCCTCGTCTCCCCTTGCCCTCTCCCTGCTGGAGACACCAGCTGCAGGCTGTGGCAGGCAGAGGTGCAGTGTGGGAGGAGCTTAGTATTTTTGACCAATGAGAGCTGATAAGGGGTGAGCAGCGAACATACGGACACAGAGTCAAGACGAAAACCTGCTCACAGGTACAACACATAAGAAAATAGAATAATAGTTGTTTGTGTTTCAGCCCAAACTTCTACATCCTGGATGAACCCACAAACCACCTGGACATGGAGACTATAGAGGCTCTGGCTAAGGCTCTGAACGTATTCAAGGTATAAACACACATGCACACTCTGACTGTAGCTCCGCCTCTCTGCCTCGCTGACTGGTGCTCTGCCTCGCTGACTGGTGCTCTGCCTCGCTGACTGGTGCTCTGCCTTGCTGACTGGTGCTCTGCCTTGCTGACTGGTGCTCTGCCTCGCTGACTGGTGCTCTGCCTCGCTGACTGGTGCTCTGCCTCGCTGACTGGTGCTCTGCCTCGCTGACTGGTGCTCCGCCTCGCTGACTGGTGCTCCGCCTCGCTGACTGGTGCTCCGCCTCGCTGACTGGTGCTCCGCCTCGCTGACTGGTGCTCCGCCTCGCTGACTGGTGCTCCGCCTCGCTGACTGGTGCTCTGCCTCGCTGACTGGTGCTCTGCCTCGCTGACTGGTGCTCTGCCTCGCTGACTGGTGCTCTGCCTCGCTGACTGGTGCTCTGCCTCGCTGACTGGTGCTCTGCCTCGCTGACTGGTGCTCTGCCTCGCTGACTGGTGCTCTGCCTCGCTGACTGGTGCTCTGCCTCGCTGACTGGTGCTCTGCCTCGCTGACTGGTGCTCTGCCTCGCTGACTGGTGCTCCGCCTCGCTGACTGGTGCTCCGCCTCGCTGACTGGTGCTCTGCCTCGCTGACCAGTGCTCCGCCTCGCTGACCAGTGCTCCGCTTCTCTCCACAGGGGGGTGTGGTCCTGGTGTCCCATGACGAGCGTCTGATTCGTCTGGTGTGTCGTGAGCTGTGGTTGTGTGAGCGTGGTCATGTGACCCGCGTCGATGGCGGCTTTGACCAATACAAGCACCTTCTGCATGAGGCCTTTCGGAGGGAGGGAGTGCTCTGACCAATGGAAGCAGAGACCCACTGAAGCCCCGCCCACTGAGAAGCCCAACCCACTGAGAAAAGCCCTGCCCATGGAAACCGATCAGAGCACAGGACTCTAACAGATGGAGCCACAGCGTCTGATTGGTGCACGCAGCTTTCAATAATCCTTACTTTCTCCAGCAGAGGGCACTGTTCAGGTCTGTGCACTGGAGCAGCTAATGTTCATTCTGAATATTAATAACTGGGTCCAGACCAACTTTTAGCTGTTAGCTTCTGGGCTCTATACCTATAGTAAGTTATTTCTGTTTTCCTTAAAAAATTGGTAGCACTGAAGCTAACATGAGCTAACATAGCCTAGCATGAGCAACGCTGGTTGCTGCGGTGCACAGTCTGTTGATGTTCAAACTGTTATAGATAAAGTTTTGGGTTTTTGAAATTCACTTTTAACCCAAAACTGCAGAGCGATTATGTCAATAAAGATTTTTAAATAAAAGACTTCCACTCTTCATTCAACTGAGGCTGAGTTTACACGGAGACAATGTGGCAGTAAAACGGTATAGTTGGATGTCGGTTGCTACCAAGCCTTCATACGAAGACTGTGTTCCAGGGGGGTGAAAACGTAAGTGTTCAGATCCAGCCTGCAGAGTGGGACAACTCAGAAACGCTGCACAGCGGGGGCTCTCTTTCAAGGTGTGAAATCCCCCTCTGCTCTGACCCCCACCTCCTGCTGCTCCCCGCACGTAAATTTGGACATGCGCAGTAGCGGAGAACCAACATCAACAACAATGGCGCCGCGCGCACTAACTAGCTTCGTGGGCTTCCAGCGCTGCACAGGATAATTCTACTCCTTCGTTCGTCCAAACGAGACCACGCGAACGCTGAGAAATTTGCATTAGGAGCCTGGTCGTTTCTGTTAATAGCCTGGAAACGTCTGCGCAGAGTCTCAGTATAAACAGGGCCTGAGAGACCAGAAAAGTCACGTTTCCACCTGAGGAGTTCCTGGTATAAGGAGGGGGTGGAACTTCTACACGAACCAGGGACCATGTCTCCACTGCAGAGTAGAACCCTTCGGCGACGTCATGAGTTTCGATGCTGCATAAGTGAAACTTGTTACGCTGTCAGGAATGAACCAGACAGACGGATCGTGGTGCGCCAAATTCTGGAAGTTTATTTAAGTTTCAAGTTCCAGTGGTTTCAATTGTTTCTTTCTCTCAGACAAAATGGAGTCATTACAGTTTATATAGTCACGTCACACATCGTAAGACATACGTGTCACACAGAGACAGTGCACATCATAGTCAATACATGGATACACAGTCAAGAGTCCTTGTAGTTGTCCTGCACGTAGGCCATATTGCTATCTAATCCTAACTACGCCAAACCCATTTATTTATTTTACGGTCGGAACCCCTCTGGTTGTTGTGGTCTTTTGAACTATTTATAGTCCTACAGTTTTTTGAAACTTTAAATCGCCCTGTGGGGAAGGTTCCTTCACTGACGACACGCACAAACGGGACCGGCCCTGGAAAACAACCCCAAAGTTCTTGCGGTGGAAACACCGTGGTGAAGTTGGTTGGATATTGGATATTCGGCAGATATTCAGAGAGGGGGAGTGAGGAGGTCGTCAGCCGGCCTCCGTCCGCCTACCTGTGGGTAGGTGACTCCCTGGATGTTGCTGGCGTTGACGATGAGCTTGATGTTCCTCGACCTCAGAACAGCTTCGTTCAGAGCAGAATTCAGATCAGAGACAAACAGGAGCAAGGTGATCTGAGAGACGGCCATCAGCAGCTCTAGCTCTGAGGCCGATCAGCCTCCTGTGACACAAACACAGCAGACACAGGATTAACACATGTGACATGCTTCTACAGCCACTGGGTCTACTGCTGCAGCGGCTGAGGGCAAGACACAAATACATTGAACTGAACATGGATTCAATTGTTGTGGTCTGGAAGTTACATACCGCAGCTTTAAATCCCACTTGACTGGGGGAGTTCTATTTATAAAGTTCATTAAAATCACGTGTACGTAGCGCACTCAAACTGCTGTGGCTCAACAGAAGACTGCGGGAAACACGTGTTTGTTTGTGTGTGCGTATTCGTGTACTCACCTCGTGAGCAGCAACAGCTAAACTATGACGTAATTTATACTTGAACAACATCCGGGAAGTGGACTCCTACGTGACACCGCGTTTCACTCACTCGCGGGCAATACGAAACTTAGATCTTTTCTCTAATGTTTAAAAAGAGGTTTCCGTTGCTATGGAGACTGGTGTCTATTTTGTGACAACAGACTGAGATTTGAGGAAATGTTTGTTATAGACTTATACGCGGAAAAATTGATCTAAGGAGAACCATATGGATGCAAACATTGAACATATTCCTTCAGTCTAGTGTAGTACTTTAGTCTGAGGGGGTTCATGTTTATCCGTTGTTTCCGCTGAAGCAGAGCTCCTCCTGGTGGTGGACTGTAGTACTGTAGCTTCACCACCACACATACGGACGTGTGGATTTGTCTGTCAGGATGCATGTGGTTCTCATGTACAGTCTGACACTGTAGTGGATGGAGATGACAAAAAACTAGTTTTCTAAATCGTGTGTCAGAAGTATCAATTTGTAAAAATTCTATGTCAGAAGTGGGATTCGAACCCACGCCTCCAGAGGAGACTGCGACCTGAACGCAGCGCCTTAGACCGCTCGGCCATCCTGACTAAAGAGATACTCTGTTAGATAATACAATATGACTCTACGGGGTCTGCAGAGTCTCTGAGTACTCTGAAAACCGCGTTTCCACCACCGTGGTGAAGTTGGTTGGATATTGGATATTCGGCAGATATTCAGAACGGGGAAGCGATGAGTTCGTCAGCCGGCCTGAGAGCAGCAAGGAGCGGACATGTACTCGCACGAGTCTTCGCCTATATTTAGGGACCGTCAACATTTTACCCTACGCTAATTTTTCACTATTATGAAAGTGGATGTCAAAAAAAGAGCGTAATGGCTAAATAATACAATAAATTCATAAATACTTTAAAACATGAACATTGATGATTATAGCCTTGAACAAAAGCCAATTAATTGTAATGTAAACATTTTAAATCACTTTGATCATTATAGTTACAGTAAAATAGGATTTTATTCAATAGCTTTTGAGGAATTTGACCCAGTGACCCCAAAACACTTCTAAATAATACTGCTACCTCTGGGCCATTGGGCTCAGGCCTTTAAATCATGTTTAAAAGCTTTTAAAATTATACTTTGGTTAAAACTACCAGTTTTTCTTCAATAACTTTTACGGCATTTGACCCATTTACTCCAAACCACTTTTAAATAATACTACTACCTGAGGGCTATGGGGCTCAGGCGTTGAAATTGTTTTTAAAAGCTTTCAAAAATATTTTTTTGTTAAAAATTTCAGTTTTTCTTCAATAGCTTTTAGGGCATTTGACCAATTTACTCCAAACCAATTTTAAATAATAGAATTAAATGAGGGCTATGGGGCTCAGCCCTTGAAATTGTTCTTAAAAGCTTTTTAAATTATACTTTGAATAAAAATACCAGTTTTTATTCAATAGCTTTTAGGGCATTTGACCCATTTACTCCAAACCACTTTTAAATAATAGTACTACCTGAGGGCTATTGGGCTCAGCCCTTGAAATTGTTTTTAAAAGCTTTAAAAAATTTAAAATGATTTTTTTTGTTAAAAATACCTGTTTTTCTTCAATAGCTTTTAGGGCATTTGACCCATTTACTCCAAACCACTTTTAAATAATAGTACTAAATGAGGGCTATTGGGCTCAACCCTTGAAATTGTTCTTAAAAGCTTTTATAACTATTTTTTGGTTTAAAAATACCAGTTTTTCTTCAATAGCTTTTAGGGAATTTGACCCATTTACTCCAAACCACTTTTAAATAATAGTACTAAATGAGGGCTATTGGGCTCAGCGCTTGAAATTGTTCTTAAAAGCTTTTAAATTTTAAAATGATTTTTTTGGTTAAAAATACCAGTTTTTCTTCAATAGCTTTTAGGGCATTTGACCCATTTACTCCAAACCACTTTTAAATAATAGTACTAAATGAGGGCTATTGGGCTCAGCCCTTGATATTGTTCTTAAAAGCTTTTAAAACTATTTTCTGGTTAAAAATACCAGTTTTTCTTCAATAGCTTTTAGGGCATTCGACCCATTTACTTCAAACCACTTTTAAATAATAGTACTAAATGAGGGCTATTGGGCTCAGCCCTTGAAATTGTTTTTAAAAGCTTTAAAAAATTTAAAATGATTTTTTTGGTTAAAAATACCTGTTTTTCTTCAATAGCTTTTAGGGCATCTGACCCATTTACTCCAAACCACTTTTAAATAATAGTACTACCTGAGGGCTATGGGGCTCAGGCCTTGAAATTATGTTTAAAAACTCTAAAAATCGGTTGACAGCTCTGCCTCCCTCCCCAAGTGTCTGAGACACCCGGTCGAAGGTCAGATGATACAATGGCAAAGTCAATCATCAACCTCCGGCCTAGGGTGTCCTGGTGCCACCTGCACTGGTGGACACCCTTGTGCTGGAACATGGTGTTTGTGATGGACAAACCGTGACTGGCACAGAAGTCCAACAACTGAACACCGCTCTGGGTCAGATGAGGGGGGCCGTTCTTCCCGATCACCCCTCTCCAAGTGTCACTGCCATTTCCCACATTGGCGTTGAGGGACAGGGACTCCAAGAAGGCCAGGTACCTTGCACTGCCGTTAATCACAACAGTGAGAGACTTGTCCCCCACCAGTAAGCGGAGGGACGCGACCCTCTCATTCACCGGGGAGAACTCCAACACATGGCGGCTGAGATGGGGGGCCATGAGAATGACCACCCCCGCTCGCCGCCTCTCCCCGCGAGAAACACACGAAAAGTGGAGCGTCCTAACCCCTCTCAAGGAGTTGGGTTCCAGAGCCCAAGCCATGTGTGGAGGTGAGGCCGACTATCTATAGTCTGTATCTCTCAAACTCCTCCACGAGCTCGGCTCCTTCCTCCCCAGTGAGGTGACGTTCCACGTCCCAAGAGTCAGATGTTGTGTGTGCAGAGTGTGGACTGGGTTGTCGAAGTCTCCGCTTTCGATTTCTCCACCTCTCCACCCACAGATCCCTCTGTGGGTGGTTGGTCCACAGGTGGCCTGCCCACGTCATGGCCACCAGACGCTCGCATAGGAGCCCCAACCCAGGCCTGGCTCCAGGGTGGGCCCCGGGCTGCTCCATGCCCGGTGACGTCATGGTTCTCAATAACGTGCTATCCATATGTGATCTATTTACTCCAAATCAGTTTAGGATCATAGTCTTCCACTTGCTGCAGGGGGTGCACGTCTTTTTTGTATCATTTAAATGTTTTAAGTATTTTAAATTAATTTTTGTCTGTTAATGTTAGCATTTTAGCTCAATAGCTTCCAGGCCATGTGATCTATTGACTCATGGATATATAATATAGGATCATGTCAACACAGTGGCTGCCTGAGACAAAGTATGTTTATTTGGAAAAACGGAAGTCGATACACACTGCAGCCTTCTTCTATTATTTATTTGTTTATTTGACAAGGACAGTGTATATTCATGAACATTACAGAATTAGCCACAAGGTTATTTTTTATCTGTTGTCCCTAGACAGATTTAAAATGTCACCTTAAAAGTAAACACTTAAAGAGAGACTAAACACCAAATCAACTTTTTTTTACTCGTAAACATGTTCATTTGTAGTGCTCTCTACAAATGCTGGACCTTTTTTTGACATTTTAGTGCAAATTAGATAAAATCTCACTTTTGAGCCTAAAAACGCCTGTGTGGCGCCCTCTCAACCTTTTTGGTGGCACTACATCTGAATTTGGTCCGGGCCTCTCCATTGACTGAATTCTGTGTGACGTCAGTTGGTGTGTGTGACATGCGTTTGTCTGCGCCAGTGATATAAACACTTTCAACTCTCACACACGGCTCAGCAGCCGGTTGGAGAATTCAGGCGACATCTAGTGGATTAAAATTAAATCACATTATTATATGACTTGGACCGTACGCGCGCTCTGATTGGCTGATTACTGGTCTGATATTTTCCCATCTCGGACCGTTACCATGACAATTGGTCCGAACAGCGCGTATCACATTTAATCTTTCCACGGACCGTTACCATGACAATCTGTCCGCAGCGCTTATCACACAAAACCAAGTCGGACATGAACATACTTCACAAATATCTCAAAAGCATTGGTAAAGACACAGATGAGAGTCATATAATAAAACATCTATTAACCTCGCTTGCTCCTTGGCCTTTTTGCACAGACCTCGCCACGGCTCGGTCTGTACATTAAGGCAGCGGTCTGATATTTCTCCATACAGACCTCGCGCTCGGTTAATAAGCCGTTATTAGTTGACAGCCACTTCTGCTAAAATAATTCATTGACTTAGGTTCAGGAGTGTGTTACGGGCAACGACCTATTGTGCCAGTTGTGCACTAAATTGCGCTCCCGTTGCTGTTTGTGTTTGTGTGCGCCGCCTTGCTCTGTACAGGATCTGCAGGTGATCTATTGGAGGAGCTTCGGGCGTGGGCGGGGCCGGTGTGTCATCTGAGTGGCTGCAGCGGGACAAGTGCGAGGACGTCCTCCAACCCCGGGGATCCATCAATGAGGGCGTCCCCATATAACCTCCCATTCTCCGCCAGCTCGAGGCAGCTGGACCTGTTCCGTGCCAGTCTGCCTTTACCACTCCTCCTGTGTTGTTGTTTTATTTTATGTTATGTTGTCACTTCGTTACTTTGAGCTCTAGTTTTGTTGTATAGTGACATTATTTTATTTACTATCATTATTGAAATTAAAATGGACTATACCATTTCCATCTGGTTTTTGTTGCGTTCATTAGCTAGATGAGCCGGACGTAACAGTGTGTAGCTTTACAATAATCTTAGTGTGTAAACAAGGGTGGAATGAGACTTTCTGGTGTGAACTATTGCTCTAAACGGCAATGGCAATTGTCAGAATTGGTCTGTGATTGACAGCTCGCTTGTCAAACCAAAAAAAACAAAGCCCCACTTCATGTCCCTTGGTTCTCCAGGCGACGCCCTGTTTTCAAATGTTCATGTGGGCAGAGCCAGGCTGGGCACAGGTGTTTAGTCGCTCTTTAATAATAAAATACCAGCGTACATGTCTCCCTGTGTTTACCGTACTGTCTGTAGTAGGGGTGAAATTAAATGTTGGAGTGGCTTTTGAGTCGCACTGTGCTCAGACCGAAGGAGAGGTTTACCGAGAGGTTTACCGAGAGGGAACCACCGTTGAACGTCTTTCGGATATCCAACTTCAAACTAACTTCACCACGGTGGCCCGCGGCTGTAGTACACCTTCCTCTGTCTGCGGAGATCCACTCCCTCGCTGTCCAGTGATCGCATTAAAATGCGAACGGTCTCTCTGTCAGTCACAATATTATTCACAGAATTTCTGCTGCATCCATCGATAACCATGATACCAGATGTTACCAGTTTTGAACTCTAAAATACGAGTTTTAAAGTAAAAAT